GGTAAGTGGAATACCCGTTTAGTCAGCCTTTTATTAATAAATACTATTAATTATTCCCATCTGTTAAATAGTTAAGCCAATGATTTGTGTCAATAATTATTTATTAATGTTAAGTAAGCTAACTGATATGTAAAAATGGGTAAGTTAATGAAAAAAGGTTAAAAAAAACAGACATTAAGAGAGACACAGCAAAAAAAAATAAATAACAGAAAACAAAGCAAACAAAAAAATGTCTAAGTAAATCAGTTAGGGTTAGTAGTATATAGTATTTAATTAAGTTTGATTAGCTTAATTTAGGTTTAGCTAATAATAAGGATATTTTCTTATTTGCAGCAGCTTATTTCTATGATTTTTCTGCATTTGAGGATGTACAAATTAATTGAATAACAGCGCCCTCTGCTGGAGGATCCGAAAACGACCACAGCGCTCTGATTCGTTATTACTACACTGATATTTTAGACTGAAATACTTAATGATTCTAAGTCAGAATAGAGAAAATAGTAATTGGAATATTAATTCAAAAGAAAAACGTTGTTGTAATAGCAACACCGACGTATGTTTGTATTTACAAAAAAAGCCTCATCTGGAAAAAAAAGTTACTTTTTAATTAAATCAAAATAGCAATTTTGACAAAGGCACTCAACAAACGTAGTTGTAAGTATGATGCAAAAATGTTTTCATCTGGATTTTGCCGAAATGATAAAAAACATCAAACTAAATCTATAAAATGCCTAAATGTGAACATCTGCTAGAAATTGCTTAAATCGCTAAATGTTAAAAGTTTAACATTTAGGAATAATAATGTGGAGGGATATTTCCATATACAATATGAATTTACTGTCCATTATTTCTTATGATTTTTTTTTTCTTTGTCTTGCATGCATATTCCAGTGGTGGCCCACATTAGGAGCCTGATACTTCTCAAAGTCCACCCACATTAAAAACTGAACATGATCTCATTCATTGTGATAAATGCAGCAGGAAATCTTCTATATCTCTGCTCACTGGTTGCCGTTCTTCCTCACTGATCTTCTCCAGCCTTCTGATGCTGTCCTCCCTATAGAAGCTGTGGTGAGGAATCATGGCTGCTCTCATGTAATATGTGATGGATTTGTTTCTCTCCTTCTGACTGTACTGCAAATATTTAGCATAGAAGCTGGAAACCATCTGCTCTTCTTCAGGATCCAGCTCAGTTCTGAGCAGCTCCTCAAACAACTCCTCAGCGTTGGCTCGCCGGTTTGATTTTGCGTATATGTTGGCCAAAGATATTTGCATTTTTAGGGAAGAATGAGGATAAAGAGCAATGGTCTCTTTGTGAAGACTAATGGCTCTCTCTATCAGGCTTCGCTCGAGGTGATTGTTGTTCGGGGAGAAGACTTTCCTTTTATAGCAGATTGCTGCACATTTCTTCATGTAACGTGCATTGGGATGTCTTTCCAGAGCCTCTTCTGCTAAATCAATAGCTTCATCCATGGAGACGTAGATCCTATAGAGCCTTAGTAAAGGTTTCATGCCACTATAGCTGCTGACCGGCTTTCTTAACACTCTTTGGGCCAATTTTCGGGCTTCATCCTGAATTCTTGTGCCTTTCTGAGCTCGAGCTTCCAGGTAAAGAGCAGAAAGATACAAGTTTTCCGGGTCGTGTTCTTTGGCAATTTTTACTTTCTCCAATAAATCAGAGTCAAAGTTTTCCTTGTGGTGCATGAAGGCTTTTACTAATGCTAACACTCTGCTGGTTTGCCATTCCACCACATCCGGCTGCATCCTGATTGCTCTCTGGAAGTAATCTACAGCCAGAAGCTTCTTATCTCTGCCGAACTTCATCAGAGTCCAGGCTTTTTCAGCACAGATTTCTGGATGGGGGTCGTCTAGAGACGGAGACGGGTACTCCATCTTCAGGGCTTCGATCTTTGTCAAGTATTTTTGGGTCTGTGTTTGCTCCCCTATTTGGAGGTGTAGCCAGGCCATATTCCCATAATTGACCACCAACCAGGGGCCTTCATCTGAGACGGTGTTCCTCAGCTGCCGAAAAGCCTCTGCAGCTCTGCAGAAGAAACGCCGGGCCTCTTCAATGAGGCCTAGCTGATGGTGAATGAAGCCCTGCAGGTTATAAATGTGACCTAGCCAGCAGTATCCCTCCTCGAGGCCAATGTCCTCCAGAGCTTCCCGGAGGCAGAGCAGTTTAGACCTGCTGATGTCCAGATCCCATGTGAAATGACACTCCAAGGACACTAGTTTGGATTCCAGTGCTGATCGATCCTGAAAAGCACTGAAAGGGTAATAAACGATTTGTAGTGAGTTGAATTTTTTTTTCAACAGCTTGAAAAAGTGATATCTGAGGAATGGAAGGTAATAAAACTAATAGGAAGAAGAATGAATGAAACAAAACACATACCTCATCCTGCAGCCGCTGTCCAGATACAGTGGTTTTAAATAATTTTTGCTTTCTGTTCTGCTTGTTTGGGTGCGGCACCATAAAAAGCTGTATTGTTCAACTCTTGGACTGCTGTAAATATTTTCATACTATTCATGGGTTGAAACTGAGCAGTCTGTCTTCTCTAACAAATTAGAAACTCTTAACATGGTACTCACTGACACGTTGGTCCAATGACAAAGCAATAAGCTTGTTTTCCGTCCGAAGTCTGACAGCAGAGTGAGCGCTGACTGAACCCTGAATGAGGTAGGACATATTGACTCATTCTGATCTGAAAGGCTAAAGTTCAAGCAGAGCTGTAGATGCTGCAGTCAAAGTCTTCTTTATTTGCTGGCTCCAAATGATATGACCCTAAGCTTACTATTATGTATTTTTCATAGAAATATAAACCCCAGAAGCAAAATGTTCTTTTCCGTTCAGTTCAATCTTTAAAGAACCAATTTACAATAACACCCCGAGACACTGTGGCAAAAAGGTGCGCAGAAAAATCAAAAGTTTTAAAGCCTGGTTCTATTCAGTAGCCTAGTTGAAGGGGGATGTTGGATTTTTAATTGTTTTTGGAAGCATACATATCCTAATTAACATAGTCTATTAACCTAAAGCAATATGCATAGTAAGGTTGTTAAATGTCAGGTACGCCGGTCATTGACCTTGACCAAGACACCGTACAGTATAACTGCAGTCAGTTGCTGGCATGGCGATCACTGCCCCTACATAGTTAGGGATAAATGTAGAGGACAGATTTCCCACTGTGATCAGCTTCATATTCATGGTAGGCAACTTCTTTGATTGTATTTTTTTGCTCAGGCTACTCGTAAGCCAACAGCCCGCCAAATGTTGTTAGGGCAATATTATTGGCATTACTGTTAAATAGAAGACATTTTACACATTCAGTAATAAAATGTCACAGGGGATGGTATGGGGGGGATGGTCATTTAAGATGGGGGATTAATTTTAAGATTATTTTAATAAGAAGGGGGATGCCATCCTCCCTCATTCCCCCTCAACTATTTGTTCCATTCAAATTATTTATTTTCTTGTTTTGTTTGTTAACTTTTGACTATTATGTTATTCTTATACATTTTTCTAAGGTCCAAATTTGTGTGACCAGTTTTTCTATAATCTTTTTTTCCCCATTGTGGGACAATAAAGGGATTTTCTATTCTATTCTATTCTAAAAAGAACTGATCCAATGTGCTCATTAAAAATCTAATCCACATATAGTTACATTCCAATTGAACTTAAAGCATTTATTATTATTTCAGCTAAGCTAAATCCAATTATCAAAGAGCTTTGACATTGTTCAGTTCAGAAACTTATTGATTAAAAAAAAAAAATACCTAAGTATATTTTACTCAAACATTTGTGTATAACCTTTGAACTTTAAACAACAACATAATGACATAAATACCAAGAAGAGTTCATAAGTAGAATGTAACATTCTTATTAGTATAACAAATTCACGCCAGTGGAACAGTTTTACTCAAGAAAGTAAAAAATCGTTCTTTTCCTGATTTGGTTGAGCTGGTTTCCCTATCTTTAGAATGGCCAATATCCAGGACACCATCAGTATTCACCTGATCTTGCAGCAACAGGACAAACTTGCTAACATGCTTTTTGGAATATCACTACCAGCTTTTTACAGCACTTACTTTTGCATACTTTTAGGGATTGTGCAGTTTTTATTTAATTCTTTTACTGTGGCTGAAGATCCTGTCTTGTCCGACCTGCTTCACACTCATCATAAACTGACTAAGATTTAATTCACTTCAGTTTGTTTATATAGCGCCAATTCACAACACATGTCATCTCAAGGCACTTTACAGTTCACCAGATCATACAGTCAAATTAATTCAAAGTTTTCTATCTAAGGAAAACCAGTTTATTGCATCGACTCATTGACTCGAAGGCAATCCCTCACACTAAGCATGCTTGTAGCGACAGTGGAGAGGAAAAAAATCTCTTTTAACAGGAATAAACCTCCAGTCGGTCATGCAGACTGACAGCTGCGATGCTGCAATACACCAGGCCCTCTGACCACCAACAGCAGGGAAGATGGGGGACGTGTCTTGTTTGAGGACTCAGCAACTAAAACAGACAGTGAGGGCAGACCCCTACATCCCTACATGTTTTCCAGGAAAAATCTATCAGCTTCATAAGATGATCTTGAAATACACCATTTTGATTAATAACTATATGTGAGGTTCCAGCCCAACTGCTCCATGAAGCAAAAGGAAACTCTCTCCATCTTTCATCAGTGGTTCATGAATCCAGTCATGTCTTATAAGTTAAATGTAACTGACTGCAGCATAATCTAATCTGAAACTGGGAAGTAATGCCCAGCAGTTATTTCACCACTGTATTTTTTTCAGAATTTAGATATCTGTTCTAAAAAGGCTCTCCTTTTGTATTCACTTGTTAACGATCCACTGCCCTTCATCATAGCTTTACCTCTTGATTAAAGCAGATTGTTTCTGTCAGAGGATTATCCCTCAGCTTTCCGGTTGCCTCCACCGCAGGTTTCCTCAGACTTCTCTGTTATCACATTGAACGTTACCAAAGGAACATGGGCTTGTTGAACGTCTTCACTTCAATCAAGGATCGAGCTGAAAAGTTTCTTAACGAGAAGAACGTGGTCACTGATTTTCTTGGAAAGATAGAGGAGAAGACAGGAATTAAGAAGAAGGTCATCGCCATAGGTAAAGTGGAAACTGTTGTGTAATCTGCTTTGTTCAGTTACAAAAAAAAAACGTCTATATGATTCTGTATTTTGGTTAGATTCAGCAAAACCAGCACTGGGACACTTGTATTGTGTTATAAGAATTTGTTGTTTTGACCTAAAAAGCCATTTAATTATTGCTTAACTGCTCCTCTCATGTTAATCTTGGCATGGTATTTGCTGCTATATTTTTAAGAGTCAGAATTATACTACAGAATTATATCTGTAACAGCTTGCAGGCCAATTGTCATTCATGGGCTATATCCAATTTTCAAAATAAAATACATTGCAAATACTATCTAAAAATAAATAAGCATTTCTAAAAATAAGAATTTGAGTAGATGAATATGCAGATCTGGCTATCTAAAAAGTGTTTCTACTCTTACAATAAGATAATTAGATATTGTGCATTTAAAATAAGACAATGAAATTGTATTTTCTTGCTTTAAATGCAAACAATCTTATTCTATTGGCAAAGTGTCTCACCTACCTGCTTAATTCAAGAAAAAAGGCAGTCATTTTAATAAAAATTAATTTGTATTTCAATTTTTAGAAATCTAAGGAAGGAAAAAAATGACTTCACATTTAATCCTTAAAAACATACTTCTTTGACTACAAGTTTCAAGTAATACTATTCAGTAAATATAATTGAAAAAATTGAGATTTGTGTTTTTTTAAATGTGTTTAGTGAGATATTTTTGAAATAAGCCCGCTTATTATGCAGCACAGTAACTGGGCATTCTAGTGTGCTAGATACCTATTTTGAAAGTAACTATAGCTGTAGCTCATGCTAACAAAACAACATCTATGCAATCTGATTAATGATCTTTAACATTGCTAAAAAAAAAAAAAAAAAAAAAAAACTCCTACTAAGAAGTATAGCTTTGCATTTTCATATATAGGAATGCTATAAGTGCTTTACACTAATGAAATTTAAATACTGTGCTTAAAACTAGTTAAGGCTACCAATTACTATTTAACTTATTTCATGCAGTAAGCTGGGCTTCGTTAAAAAGTAAATTTTACTGTATTGTATTAATGGTGGTTAACAGAGGTCACGGTTAGGCCGATGTATGGCAGCCATGTTTCTGTTAGCCTGCCCCAGAGCAGCAGTGGCAACAATGGGGTCCTTGGACTTCTTAAAGCTGTTTATAAGTACTGTGCAGAAATTTACAGTACGTTAAATAACTTACTGTAAATGATAACTGCTTGGATGCCCTTCCTGTTGAGTCAGGAAGGGCTTCCGGGATAAAAACATTGCCAACTTTGTGAGGAAGTAGTAATGACTTGCTATGGAGACCCATAAATTTGGTAGCACAGCAAAGGAAAAGATGAACAGTCAAATTGCCTCAAAATATGATCTAGTATTAATTAGTTCTCGTTAGAAGGGGACGGCAAAAATAAGAATTATTTTTAAGTTTATAGTATCTATTAAATTGTTGATTATTATGAACCAAGTCTATTTGGGCATTCATAGATAAATCCTATGCAGCTGAGGCATTACCAGAATAAGAATCAGGAGAAAAAGAAAACAGATGCACTCTCTGAGGGTCAGCTCTGTATTATAAATCCCGTGAGCATTAGACAGAAGCATACTGAGCCTGAAGTGGATCAGTGACACAGTGAGAGGAACATGATGTCAGTGTGGTGCCTGGCAGCGTTTGTCTCCCTCTCAGAGCAGCAACGTCAAAGCAGATTATCCTCAGAGGCAGGCAGCAGGGCAGGACGGCCTCCATGACTGAACAGCAACGTAAGCTGATCAGAGGTAGGAAGGAATTGTCACTGCTTATCGTCTGTGAGTACGCTGCATGTTGCTCTTGTTTTTACTGTTGTTCAGGTTGGGTTTAAACCTTAGCCAAAGTTTGAACTTCTTGCTAACAAGAGAAAAAAGTAAGATTGTTTATAGCAGTTGTTGCACCTCTAGCTTGTTACAGATATTGCATTTCTTTATGAATTCCCAAACTTTCAGGGTGGTGACCAATAAGCAACTGGTATGGAGCACCTACCAGAAAACCAAATATGTAAAAGTAGTAAGAAGTCAGTCACAAGCTCATTGGAAGATGAATCAGTAGACAACCACAATGTGTCATGATTTTAATTAAAGTTCAGACCCAAATGCTGAAGACCAAACAGGAAGACCAGGAGAAAAGGTTTAACAGGTTTTTTGAAGAGATAATGCAGAGAGAAGTGTTGCTCTGAACACTGCTTAACCGGAACTGAAAAGTGGGGTGGAAGACACCGCGATTAGTTCAGGCTCAGTGGGAAATTTGATTCGTGAACTTGGAAAAGAGGATCTGGTTGCTGACTCACGTTTCCAAAGAAGTTGTTGAATCTTTGACTCCAGTCTGTATGCTGTTGTTCCAGTGTTTGTCTGATTCGGTGGAGGGCAGAACAGGGTTTACCCAGAATGCGGTTGTTTGTAGTTGAAAGGAGAAGCTGACTGCCACTCAGATTTCCTGCGGTACTTGAACGGGTCGAAGTGGAGATGAATCCCTTTCTCAGTGTGAAGCTCAAACGATCTCTTGGGAAAAGTGGATCCAAATCTTCTGTTTGTAACCCTAGCTCAGCTTGAAGCTCTGTTGATCTTTCCAGGGAGAGAAGGTCCAAAAAAATCCAGTTTGCAGGATGACTTCCTGCCAAGAGAAAAAGACAAAAACAATGTTAAAACTCAGGTTGACAAGAACTCAGTTTGACTCAGCAAAACTCAGCTTGGCTAGAGTACCCAAAACTGGCAAACACTCTGGCGTCGAGGTAGTGGCAGTCAGCAGCTTAAGAACACTACATTAACGAGGAAACCATCAGCAGGTGTGTGAGGAGGCGGACCAGAACCGGGCGCCACCTGGTGGAGGAAGGGAGACAAATACAGAAACAAAAAACACACAGACATGAGTCCTGACACTATGGATAACATTATATTAATATAAAAAGCATAATCACAGAATGGTTTCACTTTTATATCACAATTTGATTACCTTTAAAACTGAACAGCTTCGTTAAAACATTTCCCAAAAGCATTTTTAGGATATATTGCAGGTAGCAAATTGAAGGAGCAATACTTCCATCAGTCTGTCCTTACAGGAGAGCTGGCAATTACACCCAATGTTTGTTGATGACTAAATTATTTAATAATAAAAATAAAAAAAACAGGAGAGAAGCTTGTTGCATAGAAAGCCTTAAAAAGCAGAGGACTTGGCTGAAGAAAGTGATAAAACCTATATCAGATGTAATGTAGTTCTGCTGTGTGTTTCTGTACAGGTGCTGTCTCACTGACTGGACTTTATCTGGTATATGGATATGGTGCTGCTCTCCTCTGCAACCTGATTGGATTTGTCTATCCAGCATATTACTCGTGAGTTTTCTTTTCTCAGCTTGTTCTCTTGACGTTCTAATGGACGCCATACGCTTTGTATAGTTACACTCAGTCTCATACTGACTAGACCACATCCTGGTGATGAATGTGTACTATTTTCCAGCTGTGACGTCATTGACTGTGGGTCAGATACATGTATAAGGTTTTATAAATGTATAAGGTTCTTGCATCTGCAAGAAAGGTGTCTTAATCAGACTTTTATTTTATCCGGCAGGACTTGAGGAGGCCAAAATTATGACAGTTTATCTTGGTATTAATCAGATTTTCTGATCAAATAAGGTTTGTTTGGAAGCTAATTTTATTTGGCTAATTCCCCTTGCCCCAACTTAATATATTCACTAAGAACCATGATCAATTATTCATGTGGGGACTCTAATATGTTCAATCTGTTTCTCTAAACTAAGGAAGCCCAAAAGAAAGCCCCAGCAGGCTTTGACCCAATCAACTTTGGCCTTAGATTATTCCAATTCGGTAGCATATATACTTTACAACACATTTATATCACAACATAAATATTAACCCAAAGTATGCCCTCAATGTTTCTGACTCGAAAACCATTTTGCATCTGTAAATTCCTGCCATGCTTCCTTTTTCTAGAATACGTTTTGATGCTTGATCAGTCTACCTGACTAAACTGTTGCAGATGGAGAGCTCCCTCAGTGACATATCCCGAGACAGACATTATTACCAATATTACTCAGGTTATTTTCACATCCCTGCTGTTTATTTGTTTTAGATACCCTATTGTTTTTTTATGCATTAATATACTTGCACATATCTAGATCAGCTTATACAGCAATGAGTTTCTTCAAACATGAGAATACTATGTTTTTGTGATCATTTTTTGTGAAATGGAAACATGCAGACACCCACAAAGGTAATATTACCTCTGCAGGATCTGTATGTTTCAATTTGTCTGCCACACTGCCTCTCTGCTCGTACACCTGAATTTCCCTCTATGGGACTATAAAGGATATTTATTTCCTGTTTTATTCTGTTTAATGTAAGAAGCCATAAGGCATATTTTTGCCTTTCATTACAAGATGTTGCAAACATTAAAGCAAAATTTGTATCCGTTCCCAGGCTGAAAAATCTAATTTACAAGTAAAGTTAAAGAAAAAAAAACGTTCATATTTCATATATCCCAATGTAAGCTGTGATGTTACTCATACAGTGCAGGTGGTTAAAATTGCACGATAAATAACAAGTAGTAGGGGGGTGTATGCATTCTGCTTTATGTAGACCTGGTGGAGTGATGGTGTGGTGGCATTAGACATCCTCCTGAGCAAAATACAGCTTTGCCCTTTGTTTGAAGGATAATTTAAAGTATCATCCTGAGGTTGGTAGAGTTTTCCGAACATGGTAAAAAAAAATTATCTCCCTTCTCTAACAAAGCAATCAAGAAAATGTATAATTCAACTCCTTAAAAAAATTCTCTATGTTCCTACAGAGTTAAAGCCATTGAAAGTCCCTGCAAAGAAGATGACACTAAGTGGTTGACTTACTGGGTGGTGTACGGTGTCTTCAGCCTTGGAGAGTTCTTCTCTGATATTTTCCTCTACTGGTTTCCATTTTACTACTTCTTTAAGGTGAGAGTGAGAACACATCCCAGGACCAATGACAAGGACAGAGGCCAAACCCTCGTTCTCCTGCCTGCTAAAGGCTTAGAATGGAAACAAGCTGTTAGAAACCAACCACTTCATCATATTCCAAATACAGCATCTAATTTATTTTGGGACTTTGTTCTAACTAGTCCAAGTTTGGCCCTAAAGCAAATGCAGCAAATACAGATGAACTCCTTAAAGCATTAAAAATATATATTAACTAAAGTGTAGTGTTTTTTTTTTGTTAGTCTCATGGTATTATCAGAGCAGGGCCACAAACACCCAGTGACCATCTTTTGCCAAAATATAATTTTTTCAGATCCATTCATTAAACTTAAATACAGGGGTTTTGAATGCTGTTAAATGGGGATAAAATAAAGATATATATATATATATATATATATATATATATATATATATATATATATATGCTATATATTAATTATGTTAAGCAAATAAAATTGAAGCACAGTAATATATGAACATATTTTAGTTGAAAACACAAAATAATGGCCACTGTTTGCATTTATCTTGTAGGTTAAGGTTCGAGTATTTCATGCTAATACAACTCCCTCCTTGGAAACTTTTAGAAAACATCTAGAAAGTGTGGAGAAGCTGCATATGTACTGTATGCTTTCAGTGTCTGTTCCTGTTGTGGTGCATGGCTCCCATGTCATGGAATGGCTCCCAGATTATTTACAACAAAGTGGTTCGGCCCATCTTCCTCCGCCATGAGGCCACGGTGGACAACATGGTCAGTGACCTCAGTGGGAAGGCCATGAGTGCCGCTGAGAACCTCACCAGAGAAGGTAGGAGGGCTTAAAAGGCCCAACAGGACTGGTAGAACCCATTCACCTTTGCTTAAGAAAGTTAAACCTCTTTTTCTTCATCTCCCCCCTCAGTACTATGCACTCTGATGAAGAATAAAACTCTAGTGACACCCATGCAGCAGGTTGCCCAGGCTGAACCTAAGAGTTTACCAAGCTCAACTGGACAAACATCAAATGCAAAAGTTGCTCCATCTGAGCCCAGTGAAGAGGAGCGTAGAGTAAGTAAAACCCACATTTATATGGTCCTCACAGAACTAGGATAATACACAGAACTAGGATAATAAGTCCAGAAAAAACCCTGAGAGATGGATGCAGCATCAGTAGCATGAAAAAGCAATGTGAAGAACAAACCCAGGAAAATGGCTTCATTACAGGCCTCCTCTGAGTTAATGGCTGTGATAGAACTCGTCTTATTTGACAAAATGAGAATTTTCAATCTTTGTGAATAAAAGGGATTCATTACTTTATTTGGAAAGTGATTAATATGTATTACTGTCATGATTTTAATGAATGTATTTATCACATTTATAAACACTTAGTCCCGCAGGGTAAAGTTATTTTTTCTTATTCTTTATTATTTTATAGGAACGGTCTGCTTCTTTATGGGTTTACCTCATGTTAAATGATTTTACTTTCCTGATACATTTCATTAGCATAATGTTTTTTTGTTTTTTTTTATAATTTTTGTAGTTTTAATAGATTTTAAATTATTGTATGTTTTGATTTGAAGTAAATCTGTTTCATCTTACTTTAATATTTTATCAAATGTTAAAAAAAATTATACATATTCTTTCCCTCTAATTACTTTTTAAAAAATACATTTTAATTTTTGAGAAGTGGACAGTGAAGTGTAAAATTAACAGAATTTGTTTAAAATGTTTTATATGTTTTAATTATTAGTTTCTTTTTGTAAATTAATGATCTTTCTTAGTACCTCTGTAATACTTTTTAATTTTTAGAAGTATTTTAGAACGCATGTCTCTAGCCACTAAAGGGAAGCTCTAAAAACCTTTTTTCGATGAAGAGCATTTGTGGTTTAATCCAATTCATTGAAAACCAGTAGTCCTATACCATGAAGCCTTCATTCCACACTGCAGAAAAAGTATATATCCTTACTGACAAACTTTAAATAAAATTGTGAGAAACCTATTTTAACAACATCATCTTATCCCTCTGTATTTGCCACCTGTTTCAGCCTTTTCTTGGTTGACTTAATCGGTGAGTAATATGGGTTAATTTTTGTCAGTGATGACCCTGAAAAATTAAATTCTTCCTCCTGGATGCATTTGTTTCTCCTCTGTAGCCTGTAGCTCCAACAGCAGCTGACTGATCCTGTTACAGTTTTCACAACATAGCAAGCGGAGGCATTTTAATTGGGCTTTAAATCTTTTCCCACTGTTAGCCGGAAGCTAAAAATTGTGGTTTATATGTGGTTTATGATCCATAAGAAACACCCATTTAAAAAAAGGCATGTGTTTTAATAAAATGTTTTTATTAAAATAATGCTTCACTGGGGTAAAATGTATAGCCTTTTTCATATCAGTCTATGTTCAAATAATGCTGTCATCATAAAGGAATAGAATAGTAATCAATAAACAGTCTAATAGCACACCCATTTTTTAATATCATTTTTTATCAAATGGATGAATCATGCCTAAATAACATATTAATAGGTTTTTAAAACCTAAATCATAGTTTTAGCATGCATCATTTATTTCTTTGGCCAACTTAACTTGGTAATAATCCAAAAGGGAACTATTTTGAAAATGTTTTGGTTAAAAATTAAACCATGAAAGTGATATTTTTATAGCCTATAGCAGTAATCAGAGGGATTTTAATAGGGGAGGGGCTTTAATAATGTGAACTGGTGGCGTTATATTCAACTATTCTTAGTTTTATTTTTTGCTTTATTAGAAAAGCTTTTTCTCCACATGAACACCAGTTTTTGTTTTTTTCTAATTGGGCTAACAAGGGCCTATAAATAAGCATACCATATGTGACTGATAGAACATTGTTAAAATAAACCAGAAGAGAACATGAAGTTTCCCCTAACATTACCAGTTACTCTTAATGTTCCCTAAACGTGCCATGGTTTTAGTTTTCTGGATCTCCCTGAAGGAAGATTTCAATTCAATTCAATTCTACTTTATTAATTACCAAAGGGTTTAATTTTTTTCCAATAAGTTTGCATCCAAATTAAACAAAACAATCTGGTCTTCATGTGGGAAAACAGCCCTGGTGGCTAAAATGGTCTCTGCTAGCTGCTGATAGAAACCTTTTAGAACCAGAATCCCTGCCATGACCCGACTGAGGATAGTCTGAGGGGAAATGATTTCTTCCACTTTGAATATTTGCGTCACTTAAGTTGCTCTTATTGTAAAATGTTGTAGTTTCACTCTTTGCCTGCACTTAAGAACCTTCATTTGCCCCGTCTCTTTTTCTGAAGCTCATGTTTACCAGCCAAATGTTTCACATAATGACAATTTTTAAATGCCCAGAGAATAACTCAGAATTTCATTTGTTTTGTTGTCAGTCAGATAGCAGCAGAAGAAGAGGAGGCTCTGTGAGGAAGAGGATGAGAGAGTGATGTTTTTACCCTTCGTCCTGAATGATCCAATCAAAAAGTGCTCCTTATGTCACAAAGACTCTGTTAAAGGGTCATATTTCTGTAGAAAAGGGGAATCTCTTTTAACTTTCTTGGATTTGAGATTTGGAGCCGATTTGTTGTCTTAAGATGTTCAACTCCTGAAACACTTGATCCATGTAACCTGCGCTGACAGATGTTGACAGCTGCTGTCTAATCCAGGAGCTGTATGCCAGAACAACTTCAAGACATGGGAAGATAAATCTAATTCTGACCTTCAGTTCCACTTCACCCACATAAAGTCCAATTCAGTTGAGACTAAAGGAGAGCTGAGTCTCCTAAAAACAAACAAGTTCATGTTGCTTACCTGTTTTTCTCCTTTGCAATTCTGAAATGTGGTGAATTTCATCATTAATAAACAATTTCTTTCCTTATCATGCATGGTTTATTTGCTGTCCTTTGAATAATGTCTGGAGTTGAAGAATACTTTAAGTCTGGTGCTCAACCTAATCCACATGGACGCATTTTGTAGTTTTAAGATCAGATTTTCAATTACAAATTTATATCCTCTTGAATGGAAAATGTCAGCACATCACAAAGCTTTTTTTTTTTTAGCCATTTTTTTCTTTTTGCTTTTGATTTAGACAGTAAAATGGACATTCATTTAACTCTTCTAAGACCAGTAAAAGTTCTAATTTTTCTGCTATAAATGAATTAAAATCATCATCTAGAGCTGTTCAATAAGGGGGTAGCAAAAGTACTGTAGGAGGGGTTTGTGGAAGTTTTCAGAAGAAAATTCTAACGTGTCAATTTTACACAGCTACTAAAAGTGTGAATTACAGATGAATAGGTGAAATTATTGATGACTTTTGCTCTATCTAATCAGGTAAACATTAACCATTAAATCTTTATCATTAGCATTTTATCATTAACAAGCTGTTAGAAAGTCTGAGTCACCCCAAAAACACATCCAAGAGTTGAACCATCAATCTGGGGATAGTGCACAGAAACACTTTGAAGATCCCTGGTCTAGATCTATAGGATACACCAAAAAAAAAAAAAAAAAAGATCCATCAGACCTACAAAAATTAGTTCTTTTAATTTTTTATTCCATAAAAATATTGTTGTTTAATGTATGGTTGAGCAAGTAAAAATTTATCATAATGAAACTTTTTTTCATTGAAAAAAAAAAAAACAAAACAAAAAAATCAGCTGATTGCTTTCAGCTTGGATATTTTGTCCCACAGCATGAAAAGTTTGGTGCAGGATGCCCCAGGTCTCTGCAACAGCACCATCTACTGTGTGGAGAGAGTTAGAGGAAGAGCAGAAAATAGGACTGTCCAGATGTGTCCAGTAGCATTTAATGCAAGCCTAAACTGTTAAGGATAAATATATTTTTTAGTATTATCAACTAATATAGAAGGTTAAACTCATGCATACAAAACCACTTCTCGAGACAAACAGATGGTGATCTGGGAGGTGTAGCTTTACTAATACAGATTTTTTTTTTTTTTAATCTAAAAGGTATTCTCTGCAGATGTTTATACCTCAAAAATATGATTCAGTTTTGTACAAATGGTGCTTAAAAAACACATTACCTTGTTCTGTTGATTTACCTTAACAGTGTTTTCATGTCCGGTTAATGAACTTTCATCATATTGTTTGTAAACTCCAGAATGAACTATGGGATCCACCTTTTGTTTTCTTGTTCTCAGATCAGTAGATTAATGAAAAATAAAAACACAAATGCTTCAAATAATCGAGGACATGAACACTGATTCTAAACAATCAAAGATTAGCATAGAGAAATCATGCAGTTTATTTCTAAGTTTCATAGTTTTTGTTTAATTACTATGATTTTGTTAGAATTAATTCATTATATGTGCACTGCTTTATGCTTTTGATCTAATCATTAAAATATTAAGAATAAAGATTTCCACATACATGAAAAACAATGTAGACAAAATAAAACAAATATTCCTTTTTTTAAATAAATGATTTTTTTTATTTCCTTCTCTTAGTGTTCCAAGATTTACTTGTAATGCCGATTTCCCACTTGCTCTTTTATAATGTGCACTACTGACTTTAAAGCATCACAAAGTAGTAACTCTCAGAAATGATTAGGGATAATGCAAATGTTCAAGATGTGAGGTCAAAGGTCATCCGACTCCATCTGACTCAAAGTCCCAGGTCTGAGCTCTGTCAGGTTTTCCAGGGGAAGAGTTCAGTGAACAGAGGCAGAGTCTCTGAAAGAGGAGGTGTCGAGTATTAGGTCAGCAAACTTGACCTTTAACCTCTTCCACAGTTCTGTCCAGCTGTTCACCCGCCGCCTGGAGCTCTTCTCTCCTTTTCTGCAACTGGTCCTGAGCTTCCTTCAGTCGCTTGTTCAGCTCTAAATACCGATAACACTGCTGGAAACGCAGCTCCGCCTCACTGTCTGCAGGCTGGGATGAATCTGAACACAGAAGGTCCAAACATAGGTGAGCAGGTTAAAGGATAGAAAAATCAATTATAAGAACAATTTATGTTTTTCATTGGTTTGCTTAAGGCTGAACACCTTTGCCAAAAAGCTAAACTGCAATTATTATCAAATAATAATTTTTTTTTCATACTACTATTATTTTCCTTTGCATGAAAAACAAGCATGTAGATTTTTACTCCAGGGTTTCTGTTTTTTTCATGACCTTGAAAGCCTGTTTGTTCAGAGTGCATTTATACAGGATTTAGACTTTAACCTCTGAATGAGTCTGAACGTCCACCCTAATCACTATATAGGGCACTATATAGTATGTAAAGCGTTTTGTACTGAATTTTGCTATACAAATAAAATTGCTGTCCCTAAATATGACATTTGTCAAATAAATAAAAAATTGCAAAACAAGAAACGAAATCATGAATTCAATAGATTAAATAAGTTTAAAAAAAAAGAATAGATTTGAGATGGAAGAGCAGAGGGCGTCCTGGCTGGAATGGGTGTCTATTAGAGCTCAAAATATACCAGCATTTAGAAGGACTGTCTGGGATGTAATACTGTATGTGTTGGCTGGTGAACTCCAGGTGTATGAAATGTGTGGCAACATTATACTAATCTTGTTGTGCTGACATAGATTATATTCTGAAGGACGAGAGAGCAAATTAATGAAGTGGATTAAATGGAAATACAGTCAGTTTTATTTGGTAAATCAGATGTCAGGGCTTTTATAAATATTTTTGCCAAAAACAGAAGAAAAATTAGACACGTTTTTACCAACTGATGCATCTTAATAAATTAATCAAATATTTTGAGCAATACAAGCAAAAGTTCAACTTCAGGCATTGGTGTGATCAGCTCCGTGTGTGACTGGTGTGGATAAGGCCATCAACTTGATGAAACAAAATGCAGTGTGTTGATAATGTGAGAAAATGCTGCTAACTTAGAAAACGAGCAGAACTGAGAAAACAGAGTATCTAAGTGACAATGAAAATTGAAGAGTAGTTTGTGAATGGTTTTAGATGAGTATTTTGATGAAGTCACTCACACGGATGTGTTTCTCTTATCAAAAATGAAAGATGGATTACTTAACAAAAATAGGGAAAAGAAAATGGGCCCAGTATTGTTGCAGAAATGTTTGAAATTGTTGCATGGAAAAATATGGCACTAGGTTCCAGTCCTCCTAAATAAAGGGAGTTGCTAGGACAGTTATAGGCTTACCGGTAGGTTACCTGGTCTAAGTTAAATTAAAATAAAGTGCGGATAGGAAACTAAAACAGCCTTCCTTGAATTAAATGAAACCCAAATTCTAGTTAAATGCTGAAACTGTGGTCTTGAGTGACAACATTTGGTCTGTGAAGTTTTGATTGTGATTACTTTTGATCCCTGATTAATGATACATCATCAGGGGGACTGTTGATTGTTTATTCCATGATTCTTTTTTGGAAAAAATCCTTCTGCGCATGCGCAAAAAACAGCATGCTGCAGTTACACCGCTTTCAATCTCTATAACGCCTCCCTCAAGTGATTCAGACACCTCCCGCTCTGTAATTGACATTTATTCATTCCTTGCACTGTTTTTGCACGTCACTATCACTTTATTTGGATTTATAGTTATACATATGCATATATATATACATATATATAGAGAGAGTTATGCGTGTATATATTTATATTATTTTGTGTGGTTTTTTGTAAAAAATGTTTGTATATCTGGAGCGTGTAACAAAAGTAATTTCCCCATGGGATTATTAAAGTATGTCTGATTCTGATTCTATGATGTTGAAAGAAACAGTGCTTAAAGTTTTCTTCTATGATTAATATCCTAGTCATAAGCAGACATTAATGGGTTTGTTTAAAGGTGACATTGAAAATGTCACCTTTTCAGGGGGAATTGTTAGGATAATTATCATTGCAGATGTGTGAGTTCATTACACCTTGGTATTGGCTGCCTGTTGCACGTCAAAACTGACATTTTAATCTAATTAAAACAGTTCCTCTGTGTGGATATACAGTTATAATCTTCATTCTATATGTGGCAAAGATTTGGAAATAGAATGAGAGTGGTGTCCTTGAGCTAAGAACACAGTGTATTATTTTGAAAAGGCTGGAGCTACGGATGTCTAATCATCTGCTAATGTGTATGATATAAAATATGATGATGTGGCAGACTAGAGATGTATAAAATGCCTTTTTAACTGTTAATCCTTCTTGCTGCAAGGCAGCAGTGCTACCCATTGCCTCACTGAACAGCCCGAATTATCAGTATATTAGATAAAAATAATAAGAGTAGGTTTTACCTCTGTTTACCTCTGCACAATTCTATTTCTTCAAAAGAAAACACAGGATAAATACACATACAACAGACATATTTAGACTAGACTTGGTTAAAAAGGAACATATTTACCTTCCCTCTTAGTCAGTTAAAATGTAACCCTTTTCAAAGTGTTAAGTTGTCCCAATTTTACATTATTCTGAGCCACTGATACTTCAAACATTGATAAGCAGCATCATGTGTGTGTAGTGCTTATAAAATTTGTACAAATGTAGCAAAAAATGCTGTTCTCTCTTTAATCATAATGTGTCCTGATGCTCACGTCAAGCATAAAAAAATAAAAAATAAAAATAAAATAGGAGCATGCATAATGCCTACGACCAATGACATCAGACCAATGCAACTTAAGACAAATAGTGTCCCTGCCTAAGTTGAAATCAAACCAGAGTGTAGCATATAATTTGTATGGAATGTCCTAAAATGCTTGCAACTAAGACTATGCTTTTAATACGCATATTGATGTGCCAGTCATTACAATGATTAGCATATCAAGGCTAAGGCTGTGTCTGAATGTCTGCCCTAACCCCTAAATCCCTCAATCAGAGTGATCTCTTTTCAGGGAAAAGAGCTAGAAAGATAGAGCTTCAAGGTGCAGACACAGAGCCTATCTTTAACAAGCACATTCATTTGAACACATAGTTGTTTGATGGCAATGATAGAATAATGGCAGATGGAGACATGGATTAATTAATGTCTTCTGTGTGGACCCACCTTGTTCAGTTGTATCAAGGATGTTAAAAACTGGATCATCAGGAGCAGCTTTGTTGATGTCTTCCAGGATCTCATCCATAGTGGGGAGCTCAGGTCGGCTCGGTAGAACCAGCCTTTTCTTGCTTTTAGAACCAATATTCATTTTCATGAGAATTGCTCCACCTTCTCCATCTGAAACACTGAATCCATTACGAATTAAATAAAATCTGTACAAACTGAGTCTGTCAGCCGATTTATTAATAGAAAAGAACCGCTTGTGTTAATATATGTTTCATGTCAGTGCTTAAAGTGACGTAAAAAAAAATAGATTATTGTTAAATTATGCGAACAATTGAATTAAGTTCCGTTTTCACATGTAAACAAGCAGCCACCTAAATCTTAAAATCTCACCAAGGTTTTCCGGGTATTCAGAAAACTTTCCGTTACGTTCAGGGTTCTGCTCTACTCGTCAGAATCGTGTTTTTCCCACTTTAATCTGCTGGAAACCGAGCCGAGTCTGGATTAAAATACATGAATACAGTCAATCTACCACGACACCGGAAGTCAGGCGTGCGTCATGGCGTCACGTGCGACGTCTGTCCAATGACAAAGGAGAAACTGGGGCAATAGCGCCCCATGTTGTTCAGGCAGCTGTTGAAGACGGATTTTTTTTTTTTTTTTGTGAAATCTGATTATTATTATTTTTTTTTAATTTCCGAATATATATGACTTATGTGATTTGATTGAACAACTGATTGCATTATAAACTGACACTTGTACAGCTTTCATAACATTTCCATTCCATAAAGTGCAGCAGGGTCAAATGTGAACACTGTTGGAGAAAACACATAGTGCCAAAACGCATTGATATTGAAGTTCAGCATTAATACATATAGATGCAAATATGCAATATTTGATTTTTGCATTTAGCAGCCTAGTGATTAAGGCATAGAGCTTGGAATCCAGAGGTTCTGAGTTCAAGCCCCACTCCCACAGACTGCTGCTCTGGGTTCCTGAGCAAAGCCTCTTAACCCCACACTGCTCCCCAGGCGCCGCACAATGGAAGCCTACTGCTCCCCAAGGGGATGGGTTAAATCCAGAGTTAATTTCATTGCTCTGTACTTGTGACAGTGTAAAGACAATAAAAGCTGGGGAAAAAACATGATTTAGAGTTTTGTCAACAGTTCAGCTGTCCGATGGCAGTGGGGAAGAAGCTGAATCAGAATCTGCAAAGCCTCTTCCCAGAGGACAGTATGGAGAACAGTCCATGGTGGGGCTGTGTGGGGTCATTGATAATGTTACGGGCTTGGGACACGCAGCACTGGTATATATGTCTTTAATGGAGGGAAGAGGAGCCCAGATGATCATCTCTGCTGTTCTCACCTCTCTTCTCACTTTCTTCTAGTCTGCGGAGCTGCAGCCTCCATACCACACAGTAATGTTGAGATTTTCAAACCAACAATTTAGTGTTCTTTTCTGTTTTGTTGACCTAAAAAAATCTGAGCACAGTAAGTGAACTTTGTAATCTTCCTGTTTAAAAGAAAGACAATGCAGCAGTTTAAGGAATCATCACTTTTTATTGGAATGAAGACATTTAAACAACACGCTTCTGTTATTTTGCATGTTAAACATGGCACACATAATGCCTCTCAGACCTTTTTCAAATGGAGCCAAGATATTAAAATTAATCTCAGCTATAAACTTTTCTCAGATCAGGTGTGAGTAAGACCATTAATGGTATTGTTGAAGAAAAATTCAGGACCTAAGCACAGCTGTTCTTAACCTAAGGGGATTCTCCACCCTTTGTATCTTTTCAACGCCAGCTGCTTGGCTTCAGATTTGGTTGTTTGAAAAGTATTTCACATTTTAGTTTGCATCTTGCTAAAGCAAGAGCAAAAATCCGATTGTTTTCCCGACTCTTCTGCTCGAATGTTTGTTTTTTTATTATTTTGACCTGCCAAACAATCTAAATATGAAATAATTCTTCAGTGTAGATTGCAATATAGCAGCAGGAGTTACAGCTGGTTTGAAAGATCTTGGGTTTCATGCCTTTTTGAGCTCCATATTCAGTACTGATTTTCAATGAATACACAAAAATAAGCCGTTTCCCATGTTTTGCCCGTGATGTCTCTGATTATTAGTTATACTGCAGACATTCTTATTTAATTTTGTAGTTTTCTTCTAAAAACTCTTGACTTTGATAGTATTTCAGATGAAGCAGTCTTTAAAAGTTTGCTGGGGATGAGAATGCAGCAAGAAGAGGTTACATTGCTTTTTAAGACAATGCTACAGAAGTACAATAGGGTGGTTTTATTATAACAGCCACTTAAACAAGGTTAACGTGTGTTCCATAAACCTCTTTGAGGGCTCATGACAGAGGTAAAGTACAATTACAGTGAAAATTCATTGTCTGTAAAATCTTCACCACCTATCGCTACCTTTACAGCAACACACTTAAGCAGATATTAACATGTACAGAGTTGCAGAGATTAACTCCTGGGAAAACCACCTAAAATCCTATTGTAATAGGTACAAAGTTAGACCATAAAGCAGACAGCAGGTAATATATACTGTACTTGTTGGTTAAGAGTAGTTTCTTTAGCATGTGGAAGATTTAAGAGAGTTCAGCCTCAGAAAACAACCTGGCAGCTAACTGTGAGGCTTGGCTTTTCACGATATGAGTTTTAGGACAAGGTGCTTCATGAATTTAATTAGTGACGTTGACTTTCATAGTCTAATTGTAAATCCCATATTGTGTGTGGTTAAAGTAGCCTACATTAACATCAGCTGGTTTATGCTAATGACGAACCAGTGGGAGTATTTCAAGGCTTCATAAGCCAAAACATTCTGGTCTTTAGCAACCTCATATAAGGCAAAACCTATTCATGAGAACTTGGAACTTAGCTAATAATCCCGCGAATTATAAAAAAGTGTGATAGTTATTAGCATCAATATGCTAACCAAAAACCTACTGATGCGTTCCAATTACCACAGAACTGGAAACTTGTATTGACTTAATCTCTTAGGAGATTTTGATCCAGTTTCCCTTATGTGGATATTTGTTCTTTTCATTGTTTGTACTGCATATGGCCACTCAGGCCACTGTTACAATAATAAAACTTACAAATACCTGACATAAACAATGTTGCAACATCTTTACTTATAAACTCTAAAAAGTTGTATGGGTACAGCTGACGAAATGTTGAGAAAATGATAAAGAACCGCTAAAAAGAGTTTCACTGCCGTTGATTCACGTGGAAATCAGGTCCAGTTGCTCCGACTTTCCAACTTGTAATTCTGACTTTCTGTAGTGTCCCTGCTGAGATGTCTATTTAAGAGGACAGTAATTCTTTCAAGTACAAACAAAATTGTGTATTCATCTCCAGGTTTAGCTAGTGGGTCAAATAATACAGTGGAGACTTAGGCTATGTCCGAAAGCCACCCTTACCACCATATAGGGCACCGTATAGTGGTTACGCCGTTTTAGATGAGTGTCTGAATGTCTAGTGGATGAAAAATTAGTGGACTTGAAATTTCCCACATTGCATCTTGAAAAGTAGTGATCATCTATGGTCACTACATGAGCAGATATATCCTGGATACTTTGCGAGAAAATTTCCTCTTAAGGGTCATGGGATTTGTTGTCACAGCGCCTCATTGTCGCCCATGGCTGTCGCAACCCAACAGAGGCAACAAATAACAAAGAAGCCACAGGCAGAGTGCAGGGAGGTGGAGTTACATGACCAACGGGGAGCTAAAAGCAATGATCACCTGTCCGAACGGTCAGTTAACTGAGTTTACTGTAAAGTCTACTATATAGTCCCAGCTCCATATAGTGATTGAGGGATTTAGGGGTTAGGGTAGACATTCAGACACAGCCTTAGCCTTGATATGCTAATCATTGTAATGACTGGCACATCAATATGCGTATTAAAAGCATAGTCTTAGTTGCAAGCATTTTAGGCCATTTCATACAAATTATATGCTACACCTTCTTTACTGCTTTGGAAAGTGAGATGGAGAACAGACACAAGGAAAATAGCACAGGAATAGACTTACAGGGCTCATTTGATATGTATTAATTCAATTCAGGGCTTAATCTGTGCCACTGCCTCATGAAGAGCTTCTAGAACGCAATCGGCGAATGGATTGTTATCTGAAGTGAGAGGCTGTTGACTAAAAAAGACTGAATTAAATGTCTGAAAATATCCAGCCAAGCACTGGACTCACAGTCATCATGGTGCAGCTGCGGTGCAGGCGTGCAGCAATAAGACACAATAAGAGACTCACATTGACCACAGGCTGCCACTGCTGCGATTCAAGATTCAAATGGCGCTCAAAAGAAGAAAAGTTCATATGAGTTTATATTCTTTCCCAGAGTTATCAGGCAAAACGTATCTGTACAGATAAAGGCCTTCTTATTTTCCCCAAACAAAATAGTGTGGGATGGTAGATAGATCACTGTGTTTATTTTGAAAATTCACCAGGGTGGGCACACTGATTTGAATGATCTGGGTTCCTGGCAGCACCTGCACCACTTCTGCACTGCGTTCAATAAGAGCACAGCCTAAGAAGTCTCTGCTTACTGCTCATCTGTTTTAACTTTGTACCTTCTGCTGTTGGAAAAGCCAAACCACTAATGATACCATATTGTTGATATACTCAATAACAGTACCTGAATATATCAATAAAATTAAATAACATGATGCATTACCAGATGCTTTTGGTTGTGTTGTTCATCAGTACACAGTTTGCATTTTTACATGTTTTTTTGTGTCACAAAAATACAGATGACATTGGACTTGGAAAATATTTCCCTTCTGAATTACATCATGGCATTATTCAGTACCCTTAATGTTTACCAGTGTATGTACACAGTGAGTATGTGAGCATGCTGTCAGCCGTTAACACTCACCGGGAGGTTTCTTTATATATGGTGGGTTATGTACAAACCTGATTAAGAAATAGGATTGTAGAATGTAACAAAGACTGATACTGCCATTGCAGGATTATTAGTGAAAGAAACAGGTGCGATATCTGACATACTGAACATATGTGGTAGAGGATTACTTTAAAGTTTAAGCATAATATATTATACCTAATTAAAACAGAAATCAATAGTGTATATGAGCTATTCTGCATTATACTACAATTAGACTATAGAATATTTTGAATTTCAGGGTTAACTTTTGATCCCTTCAGCAATGACACCTTAATATGACTGATAAATATAGAATTGTAATATCAAGACCAGTACTGTGGTAACCAAATACTTGTATTTATGAAGTGACTTTTATCACATTACAGCTCTAAAATATTAGGGCAGAGGCTATGTTTTTGAAACAGAATTTGTTTAACCCCAAAAGCAGACCATGATCTTTTTTACCTGTTAGTAACTCAGTTTTTAAAGTTGAAATCTTGTCAGAAAACTGTGGTCATGTTAATTTGTCTACATACATCCAAACATGTTTCAGTAATTTTATGAGTTGAGAAGAAAATGGTAATATATAAGTGTGCAGACTGATTACAAATAGAACATTGTAATTGTAGATATATTCATTTGGAGAAACGTCTCTTTGGACTTCCATAAGTCTAATGGTCTGAAGCATCTTAGTTGTCAAGTGATAAAACAACTGCCAAAGGCTCTAATTTCTGGTGAGTAAAAATATTTCATAAGTCATTTTGTGCATGTAATTTGGAGTAGTTGTAGGTTTTTAGGCAACCACAATTTAAACCTTCTCATCATAAGTCCAACTGAATGGTAGTTCACATTTATCCACAAACACTACTGTTTAATCCGATTGTTTCCTAGAGATGATTTTTCATGTATATGCTGGAATAATGTTCATTGTCTTTTATGCTTTGACTACTTTTCTACCAGGCAATTAGTCTACAAATACAAAAAAAGTATAAAAAGATGCAATGTTCTGTAAAGATGTCCATTAAAGAACATCACTGAAAGTTTTTGGTGATCCATTCGGGCCAACCTGTCTCCATGCATACATCCAATGCAGTAGGATAGTAAACGGAAGCTCTGATCAGTTGGTCAGAGAGAATAGTTTGAATGGAATAAATGGGAAAGAAAAAAGGGAAAATATTTGAGGTATAGGACCAGCACATTTTCCATCTCAGTGCTGAGCTTCAGTCTGCAGTCATTCATGCTGATTAGTAATCAACCACGTACCCTACAACTCAGCTTTTTCCCCAGCTTTTTCTGTCATTGTAGCTGTCTGGCATTGTGGGTCTTGCAGACAGCAGGCCATGGGACTAGGGATGTAGTTAAATGGAGTGACTCTGGCAGACTTGCTTGGGGATCCTTGGCGGAAAGTGACAACTCCACCAACATGGCTGTCTGATGTACCAGTAGTGCTGAGGCTTTTCAGTGAGCCATCTGAATCTGCATCCTGATGGTTACTCACAGAGGTAGCACTAAATTTCCTAAGGAAAGCCACTCTAGCCTCTTCCTCAGAGATCAATGGAGCTGTTTCAGTTGGAGAGGTACTTGAGTTAGTTTTGTCATTGGATAAATCTTCTGTCTGGACTGTTGCGTCAGTTGTCTTGCGAGATGCAAGTACTATTGTCGGCAGTTTTCCTGGAAGAGCGGGTAGTTTCGGCTTTTCTCCATCAGGAGAAGGCACCAGTGGTAATGCATTGGCGGGCAGCGTGCTTTTCAGAATTTGTGGTACTTCTTCATCTCTGATTCTTCTCCAAGTAACTCCAATATTACGTCGAGATGTGGATCTCTGGCCTTTCTTCTTTGTGTCATCCTCACTTTTTGCTCTTCCACTTGAATCAGATGATGAGGAACGGAGAGAGGAACGGCTGGTAACACGACTCAGTATATTTATGCTTGGTGATGAAGCATGACGCTTAAAGGTGTCTTGGTCCTGTTGGTGCCTGACTCCAGAAACTCTACCAGTTCCACTTCGCTGGGCTGCCCTGCAGGGACTTTCAGAACTAGTTCTCCGTCCAGGTCGTCTTGCAGGTAGATCTCTTTCACTAGATGTTGCCCTTGACAAAGTTGTAGTCTGCCTTTGAGAACCAGGGTTTGTCCTTTGTGGTTGATGTACTTTTGCAGGCTCTTTTACTTGCACCCTTTTTGGGACTTGCACTGCAACTTTTAGCTCTTGACAGCGTGATGAGCACAGAAATACAGCTGAAGCTCCAGGAGCTGTTCTTCGAGGGGATCCCTTTTGTGATCCCAATGAATTGTGAGGAGAGCCATCCCGTCTTAATGCTGTCCTTGATTCCTTAATAAAGGTTAGCTGTCTAAGGAATCCATTTTGATCAGATTCACCCCTCCCTGAATGAACAGACGTCATTCTAACCATGTCAAATCGATTGGCTGGCGACACTCTTTTCCCATTAATATGATTACTTTGTTTGGGTGATGTTTGGTTGGTTACCAGTGGGGATAAAGGTCGGGGCTGTCGAGCGGAATTCTGCATAAAAGGTATTCGGACAGGTGACTTTTGAGTTTTAGGTGGGGGAGATTTTTCATTTTTATTAACAACAGGGGAACGTCCTTTTCTCTCAGGGGGACTACTGGCTGGTGAGCTACTACTTGATGATGCAGGCTTTTTCTGGACTGCTTTACTTGTCTGACTTTGGTATGTTGTTTTCTTCTGTGACTGCTTGGATGGTGTTGAGCTCTGTGACGACCCAGAGGATGAGCTTTTTGGTATCCTTGGTGGTGGAGTAGAGCTTCTCTTTGGAAGGGACAATTCAATTTCTTGCGGCTGGCCAAGTCTGTGAAGGCTCTTTGACCTGTGTTGAGCAAGGTTTGGGTTCTTTGGAGCATCTGTCAAGCTTGGCATTTTTCTGGGAGGTGGTCGTTGTGATGGAGCTGTCACTTGCTGGGGTGTATAAGTTACTGTCCTGCCTCTGAAAACAACTGGCAAGTTGGGAACTGGCTTGCGTTGAGCAAAGTCTAGAGGTTTGTTAGCCTTTTTCTCTTTTGCAAATTTCTTTTCTTTCGGTGTAAAACTGGATGTGGACATGAAAGACAGAATTGACTCTGTCTCTTCAGAGGATGGATCTTGAGATTTTGAGGCTTGCAGTCCAGTGACAACGCAGTTAGCACCTTCCTGTATAGCTCTCCACTCAACACTATTAAGGTCAGAATCATTATCCCAACCCATATCATCACTATCAATTTCTTCATTCATATCCCATCTGTCAGAGTCCTTTTGTTTAAGAGTATTTTCTTTCTTTTTCCTGGAAGCCATTTTTCTTCTTTGCTTTGGCATGGCCGATGTTATGCATTTTTGCAGGAGGTCATCCTCTGAGTCCATGCTGACAGAGCTTGGAGAGCTTTGTTCGTCATACTGATAGTGCATATTAATAGCCTTTGTTTGATGTGCTGTATTGAGAGTTTTATTGTGTCTGTTTTTTTGCCACATTTGCTGTACTTTTGATTTATGGTCATCATATTCGGCCTCACTGAGTGAACTGACAGAGGAGCTGAGTGAGTAACATGCCAGGGATTCATCATGTAAAAGATTTTGTTTCAATCTCTGAAATCCTCTAGGCTTTCCTTGGGAATTATCTCCCCTACCAATATTTGTCATGCTCCGGGAGAGGGTGTATCTAGTTGCCTCCTTTATTTGTTTTCTGCTTGTTCTTTTGAAAATTTCTTCACCATAGAAGTCGTTACTGTCCTCTGAAGAATGTGTCATTTGTCTAAATATTTTGTTATCTTTTTGTGTTCTGGACTTGACATTGGCCTCTAGGTTTTGTTTTATAACTGGAAGTTCAAATTTTCTGTATGAGCCTTGATCTTCTTGCCTCCTTTGTTGATTGGGAGATCTATCTCTATTTTTTAGGCTAGCCACTCTGTCAGCTACCTCTTTGCTCTGCATTAACAGCTTCTGAGTGGGTATCACATGTTTGGTTATTCTGCTCATTTGTATCTCAGGTGGGTAGTTCATCCCATGTGGTTTGTGGAAATGTGAAAATATCCTCAAGTCTTCAATTCTCTTTGCATCCTTGTCCAACAATTCCTGTTTGCTAAGGCCTTTATATGTGCAGTCTTTAGACCCCCTGTTCTTTAGGGGATATTTAAGTGTTTCATCACTTAAGGATGTTGTGCTTGAGAAGTTGACAGGTGTACCCTCTGCAGAATCTGTGAAGGAAGAATCATCCAACTTCAAGTCTTTTTGCAAGTCTATGTTTCTTCTTCTAGGGCAAATTTGTGTTTTGCCATTTGAAAGAACATTCAATTGTAATTGCATTTGTTTTCGGGTCTGGGGGTTAAGTAAGTTGGAGGGAATAGAAGTCAGCAGGGAAGATCTTACTCTTCTAAACTTAGAAGGCATTGCTGAGTTGATGCATTCCTTCAGAATCTCAATATCTTCTTCAGAGTTGCCCTCACTGTATCGTTCCCCATTGTCAAATCCTTCCTCATCCTCATCAGGGTAGGGGAGAGACTCATTATGTTGCTGGAGTAGGGGAGTTAATTTCAACTCCACATCCTTTTGGATGTAATGCTCATGAAGAGGCAAAGCACTTAAGCTGGAAGCACAAGAGAAATTTTCTGTGGGTTTTTCAACTGTAAAATAGATCATGGTTTCTAGATCAGAAGGGTTGAACCTCTCCTTAGAATCTGTGATCTCTATGAACTTCCGCAGGCTGTTCTCCCATTGTCCTGGTATCCCTGTTGTGTGGGTCTCTGGTAAATTTGACTCAACACAGCATGGGGTTTTACTCCGACTAGGAGGCATGGTTTGTCCTGGACTGTCTGGAAGATCACTTGGACTTATTGTTCCATCAATCATCTCACTACAGGGATCACTTTGGATGGAACTGGCAATAGAAGGAGACTCAAAACTTCCCAGTGAACTTACAGAGCTACATCGGCTTAGAACTAATGGTGTATCATGGATATAGTTCTCAGATGAACTGGAAGGAGATCTGTCTTCATTTATAGCAGGTGACGCTCCCCTAAGGAAAACCTTTTCCTTTTTGGGAGTACAAGAGATTCCAATGGGATTTTTCTCATTGCTGGGTAAGGTTTTTGAGTCTGTCTTAAGCAACTGACTGTCACTCAGATCCTCTAAAGTTTCATCTTCTTGCTCTTTCTTCACTTCTTCTTCATCATCCACCTCAATTATTTCCAAAGATGAATCACTCTCCAGCTCATTCTCACTCTGTCCATCAAGCCCTCCATCACCTGAAGAAAGGGAAGAGAGTGAGCTGCAGCGTGAGAAGCAGATTGGAGTGTTTTCCACTGAATATTTCTGGACTGTTTCCATTGTCCCGACTGTTGGACTTCTAGTGGAATTCATTGGAGAAAATTTTGTAATACTTCCACCAGTCATTACAGTAGGAACCCATGCTTGCCTCCTCATTGCCTGAGCAGCCTGAACATTAATGGCTGTCTTTGCAACTCCAAATTTTGCCACACTCTGAATTAGTGGAACCTGTTGATAACTAGGAGAAAGTTTAATTGATGCCATGCTTACATCAGAGGACACTTTAGTGGATGCACTGACAGGTGTTTGTAATTGTGGTTCTTGGTTCTTTTCGTTGTCTGTATTGTTTTGCTCCACGACATTCATACCTTTATTGTCCACAGAATCTCTCTCTGGAATATCCTGCTCGTTTGCCTGATTCGGACCAACTGGTCCTACACTGAGATGTTCCTGATGAGCCACTTTGAGGTCCAGTTGGTTTGGTCGTTGTTGCTGGATTGCTAAAGCCTTAGGAGCAGGTCGCATCTGGTCTTTGCTGCCACAGTATCCATCACTGGTGCTGCCACTGTTTAGGCTGTCTGTTGATACACTTGTGTGGGTGGTTTTGAGCCGTAAAAGAGCATGAGCTCTGCTGAGGCGTTCTCTGTAGGCTAAGCTACTCACATCGGAAAGACGGCATGGGGAGCATGAATTTGCCCGAGCTTCGTTAAGATCATCTTGTGCATAAGGCCAGTCTGCTAGGTGGTCCTCAGAGCTGAGGCTAAAACTGTCCTCAGAGGATGTGTGCATGGTGATATCGTCCACTAGTCTGTCGATTTTTGCAACTGTGTTGGTAATCTTTTTAGCAAGCTTTTCTGCTGCAGCAGAGACCACATCATCAGGAGGAGCTTGTTTTTTCTCAGGCATCTGAGGCAGGTCTGTATCTCTCTCAGGTTCATTATCTCTCCTATGTAGCTGATTTTGCACAATGTTAGAGTTGGTGAGATACATGGGCAACATAGAATAGCTACCAGTATCCAAGCTGCTGGAGTTATTGGGGGCTTCATCATCATCAAAGCAACCAGAATCCGAGGCATAATCCTTTGCTAGACTTTCAATATGCCTAAGAGGTTTGCTGAGGCTAAGGTGTTTGGGGCTGTGTTTCTCAAGCGTATCAAAAGTCTCAGCTAGGTGTTTGGCATTTAACTCAGCTTCAAAAGCTTTTTGCTTCCTCATATAGAGAGAGGGCACACAGGAGCCAGGGGACATGACTGCAGCATCCTTGTATTTTAAAGGTCGATTTGTAAGGAGGTTCCTTAAAGCTGCAGCACTGCCCATGGCGATCATCTTGTGCTTGGAGTGAATGAGGTTGCGCAGCATGCTAACTGCTCCTAGGTCCCATAGAAGCTCCTGGTCTTTGGGACTCCTGGCTGAAAGATTCCAGAGAGTCCCGCAGGCATTGCTCACTATAGTCAAGCTGTGAGAGCGTAGGTGCTGCAGTAGAGTCTGTAGACAGTTGTGGTCACGCAAGATTTGTCTGTGCAGAAAGAAATAGGAATTTATTTTATTTCAGATTTTTACAAATACTTAAATAAAATATATAAAAAAACACTACATTCTAGAGTAGTAAAGGAAAATAGACTGATGTTTAAAAGAAATATGTTCTCACAAAGAAATGTAACACACCTGTAATCCTCTCTTGTGGCGATCAGACTAGACACATTTCGAAGTATCCCACCTCCGCTTTCTATTATGGCAAGAGAGTTAGTCTGACAGCGGTATGTCAGTGTGCTGACAAGGAAACCCAAAGACCCTTCGACCGAACAGATTGCCACTTTGTTGTCAATGTTGTGTGCTGAGAGGTTCCACAAAGCACTAAGAACGCTCTTCAAGGTTGACTCCTGTATAATTGGTGAAAGAAAAACGATTTATCTCAACAAAGGATTAAACTTCATTCAATTTCAGTTTCAAACAGTAAAATGAAGTGATGATGTGCTACTATAGGAGTGGTTTAACTTCTGTTAGAATTCTAAGACAGGATAATGTTCACTGGATCTAAAGCTTTTTTTTTAATATCTAACAACCTTATCCTTTCCAGGTTCAAGTAATTTAGATGTCCTGTACCCACCTTGGTTGCCTGCAGGGCACAGGTCATGAGTGCAGACACACAGCCGATGTCTCTCAGAACTCTCTTGGTGCTGATGTCTGCCCTCCAGGAAAGGTTCCTCATAATGCTGGACACCACCTGATGAAGCTCTTCACTGTCTGTAGACAGCTGGGCCACCAGAGCCTGAAGACAGCTCTTTCTTGAACATAGGGTGGCCTGCAGAAGGAAGATCACGGTGCCAGGTTAAGTAAAATACAAGCTAATTCTTCTAACATTCTAAAATAACAAGGGTTATTTTAAAATCCCATATTCATTACTGTTTTCACTAATATTCTCAGCCCCAATTGTAAATTATTTAGAATAAATGTATTTATCTATTGTATTTGGGTTTTCTATCTGTAAAAACCTAAGACAAAAAGAGTTGCTTGATGGATAGAGAGAGGGCATTAGATTTAGAAATACACACATTTATCATATATACTCGGCTTTCTTTTTCCAAAGCTGTCCTGGGCTAAAATCTTTAGTCAGATTGCAGACTTTTTCAAACATGCATAGGAACCCTGCAGTAATATGAAAACAGCTGTTGGTGAGCAGTTGGATAATAAAACACTGAAGGTCAAGTAAGACTTGGATCCAGATCCTGCCTGCCTGGGTTTCTTCACCTGCTTGACCTTACCTTATTGACGACGTCACCAAAGGTGAGGTTGGTAAGAGCCATTCCTGCATAGCGACGCAGTGCCATGTTGATGGGGTCATTTTGCATGCCATACATTTCATGCTCAAGGTGGATGAGATCTGCCACCACCTGCAGACAACCTGGAGAACAACACACTCTCAACTAAAAACTCACAACTACAACTTAAAAAATGCCTAAAAATAAGTTCTCCATTTTTAGAATAATTAGTATAGGGCAAACACAAACCTAATTCATTCATGGCGCGTCTGTATTCCTCTTCAAAGGACATTTTCATGATGGCACACATGGCCTGACAGATCTGAGGGTCCACAGGTTCAGGAATATCTACACATCCATGGAAAAAAAAACAAAAAAAACAGCTAAACTCAAGCCAGATCAAAGCTTTATAGTTTTAAATACATCAAATAAAGCAGGCATGCCCAAAATTGCGCCTTAAGAGTCGCTCTCCTGACGGTTTAGAGGTTTCCCTCTGCTCCAGCACAGCTGATTTTTCTTGATAGCTGATTAACAGGCTTTTGCTGAAGTACAATCAACAGAATCAGCTGTGTTAAGCAGGGAAACCTGTAAAAGCAGCAGGAGAGTGAAACTCGAGAACCGACTTTGGGAATACCTGAACTAAAGAATTTTGGAGTCATTCTATATTCCAGTTTTTTTAGTAGATCAGGCAACAAATGACAGAATCTTTTAAAATCTTTTATATTTTTAGACTGGTTTTAGTATGCAGGTTAGTAATTGTAATTTAGGTGTGGATGTATGTGCAAAATTGTGTGTCTCTCTGTAGCCCTCTGTTGGAATGGTGATCTGTTCAAGGTGTAATCTGCTTGAGTATCTGCTTGGTACTTGCTTGGTAATTTTAGATCTACTTTCCCACAATTATAAACTGCCAATTGCTGAACAAAGAACTTCTACTTTGATATTAATCAGGATTTAATTGGCTAATGGTTAGATCGTGTGCATCATTATGTGGGTAAATGCAGCCACAACATTTGCTTAACCTAACTTGAGTGAGTATTTTTTGGCTCACCAGATGTTTTAGTCCCTCCAGGTGAAGGCGTCACAGCATGACTCTCAAGCCAGTCCCAGCCACTGTCACAGTAGGTCCGGATCTGCTCCAGCATATGCAGGACCTTCATCTCTCGGTGGGCCTGGCCTTCGTCCTGCTGTGAGAAGATAATGTTGTGGAGAGCAGCGCTTGCCCTGGATTTGGTGTCTCGGCTGCAGCTGTTGGAAACAGAGCCACCTGAAGTCTCCTCAGGAACTCCACTGGGGACTTCATGCAAGATCTGAACAAGCAAGGGGACACAGCCAGATTTTCTCATGGCGATACAGCTATCTTGAGAGCTTGACAGGGCCAGGAGAGTCCGGGACATCTCATCCTTGTCCCTGTTTGCCAGCATGGAGAGCAGCCAGAAGACCATCTCCACCTAATGAGGAAATGTAAACAGATAAAAAATTGGAGATAACCATAGAAATTGGCTAAAAGCTGCAATCAGACGACTCAAGGTCCCATCAATGAGAGTTGAGTATATTTATATATATATATGTATATATATATATATATATATATGGAGGGTTTGCAGTGCCTTTCATGAGAATACAGAGACAACTGGAGCAAAATTCCACCATGGTACATTATTACAATATCGTAAATACACATTCACTATTTTCCAAACTTGACTTTTGTTAATTTAGAAGCAAACAGGTATACACCGTATTCATCCAGTTTTAATCAGCCACCAGAAAGCCAGAAATGGACGAACTCCTTGTCCACATTATAGGGAAACATACACCAACCTTTGTGTGCATATAGCATCCTATTTTTTCTTCTTTTTGCTTTTTTTCTAAATAAAAAAACTGTTTCCAAGTTGAACTAGCACATATATTTTAAAGTTTCACTAAAGTGACCGAAAAACGTATAAAGCCTGCAACATCAGGCAGGCTTTGTATGTTTACTTTTCTTTGAAAATGTACAAAAATGTACATGTACAAAAATTTTGCTAAACAACATGATTTCATTTTCAGAGGCCCTAAAGGATACAAATGCATGCAAGCATCACAAACCCTATTGCTTACTGCAATTATGCACTAGTCAGAAGATGGTTTCACATGTAAATGAAGCTCAGAGAATATAACTCTTTGCTTAAGCGCTTGGCCAAAGTACCTCAATGCTTCATAATGTCTAATCTTTCTATCACTAGTAGAATATAAAGGAGTTATTACCTTGCTGCCCCCATCTGCAGCTTCAGCTCCAGCAGCCGTAGCTGATGATGAACTGCTGTTCTCTGGTTCTCCAGCAGGGGGCTTCTCAGCTCCAGATAGCTGCACACAAAAATGACAGAAGGCATGAGACACTCTCTGACCCAGTTTCATTCCTTTACCAGCTCTGCTTTGTTTTAAGAGAATGTTTAGGGGAAGGTTTAAATTAAGTTTTTTATTAAACAGTGGGACACTCCTTCAAGTTCAAATACTGCAGGAGCTCAGTTCAATAAAAAATTAATGATGCAGAAAACCTGAGAGATTATATGACAGAGAATATGATCCAAGTTTGAGTTGTGTTTTTTTTAAGCATGGAATCTTGTCTTTGCAGCAAAACTAACTGGGAGATGTTAATTTTACCACCTTCATGCATGTGTAGTTTGAGATATTTAAGGGAATCTCATTCATTCATTCTTTAGCTTTAAACATATGCAAGCCCAACATTCCATTAGGGACCCTCGCTCACACCAACTGGGATTTAAAAACAACTTCATTTGGATTCACAGACGGGAATCCTTTAAAAGTTTATATCAAAGCACATTTCCACACACATACACACACACACACCCACACAGTGCATATATCTCATCACCATGGCAACCCCTCCGGCTGTGATGCGTTTGCAATGAAGAGCTGTAAATGAAGATCGTACAAAGAGCTGAGCTGTTGTGTTTTCCTTCAGTTGAACAAAGGAAACCTGGATGTTTGGCATCGTCTTGAATCTATGGCTGCGATCCAAACGCATCCATTAAAAGACGGACTGCTGCTGCAGTAGCAGCAAGAAGCTGACAAAATGGAGGCCAGTGAGCAAAGTTGCTGCCCTGATCGGCTTCTCTCTGCTGTGTGACAGGGGACAAACTAAATTCTAATTTCTCTTGAGGTCTGAGTCCAAATGTGTTTACTAGCAATCAGTGTTCTGACTGCTAGTATACAGATTTGGACCTGAGGAAGAACATTTAGTTGATACTTGACTTAAAAAAGGAATCAATAGGTCTTTTAATTAGATCTTCAAATTCAGTAAGCTGAGCGGTTGCCTTGGTGGCAGTTTTACTGCATAAATGCTTCAAAAATGCAAATAAACAGTTCAGTTTTTCTGCAGCTTTCACCGTGTTTTATATGTGCAGCACCTGATTGGACACAGGAAGACTTGATCCTGAGGAAAACCTTAAGCTTTCTAAGTCAGAATTCAAAATTTAGAAGGGGTTATTTTTTATTTGTCCTATAAAAAAAAATCTGATTTATTTATTTATTTTTTTTACCAATATCTGGTGAAAGAATATCAAATTGCAGCCAGAGATTCTTGATCTGTCATAACTAGCAAAACATCTGAATTTTTATATGTTGTGTTTTTGTGATTTTGTGCTACACCAAGGGACCTTTTCACAAATATAAGCCAGTATTTCAACATCTTCAATTAAAAACATGTAAACTGTTGGTGCCCAAAGTGTAGCCTAGGCCCTCTTTGATTACCTAAGCTGATTCAACTTTAGGTAAAAGAGTATGATGTAAAGCTTAAAGGGGCCTGTCTATTGAAACTAGCCTTTTAGAAGACAAACCCAGCACTGATCTAAACATATGTTGGATTTTCCTTCTCTTCAAAGCAGAAACCAGAACTGCTGCTTCCTGTAGCCTATCAGGTCCTTCTGTGTAGCTAAAATATGAAGCCAAACAGGTCAGACAAGAGCAGAGGTGAGCTTAGTGACGGCAAGTTTCTGGTAGAGACGCTGGTTCCAGTTCTGGATTCTATCAGATTGAGGTCTGTTTTTTTGTTTTTATTTTGTTTTTGTTTTCATGAACGATGATGAAAAAAGGAGGGAAGCAGCTGTGAGTATCTGATACACTATCATTATGTTGATAAAATGGAATCCTTAGTAAGCCTGAACACGGTCAGAGGTTTATGGAAAACCCTGAACACAACTTTTACTTCCAGTTTCCTAATCCCAACATCTCATACTTCTCTTTAGTTTTGTGATATTATTATTATAGTTGAATCAATTCAATTTAAGGGGTATTGATATAAAAACAAAGTTGAAGTTTGAAAGTAACATACCACATTTTGGTATAATAATGACAAATTTTAATCTTGGTACAAATTAAGGTGTTTTTTTAAGATAGAGATCTATTTTTCGAAAATGTCCTCAAATCCTGACATTATGTGTGTGGTTATCTCTCATGGGGGATGAAATATAAAATGACCAAATCACAGTGTAAGCTTAAAACGTGGACTTAAAGCCTCTATGTTGACAATAATTTCTAGATATTAAGAGTTTTTGTCCTTTCTCTTGCTAGCAGAGGAGTCTCACCTAAAATCTCTGTTAGAGGGAATTTCAGTAAAGGAGCATTATTTCTTTTAAACCCTTATTATTTGCAGCTGAGCAGGTTGTGTGGAATCTGATCAGTGATGCTGCAGTCTGTGCAGCCAGCCTCCAGTGATTCAGCTTCCTTAGAGCCCTTGAGCCAGTGCTTGACCAGATGGAGAAAGATGTCCCCTGCTGGCTAAATGATCAAAGCTGGCTTTCAAAAATCTTTACACTTAAACATGGTCAAATCAAGACCTAAAATCTTTATAACCGCATTTGTTCTGTGGAGGAACATTAAAGTGATATCTCTAATGAATTTAAACCTATGGATAGAGAAACCTGCCCTGCGATGGATTAGCGACCTGTCCAGGGTGTACCACGCCTTTCGCCTATAGACAGCTGGAGATAAGCACGAGCACCCCTCGCGACCCCGCTTGGGATAAGTGTGATGGAAAATGAATGGATGGACAAACCAGGAGATACTAAAGCCTAAAGTATCACATTCTTTTTTCTGTGTTCAGGCCGGGCTGTGTTGGTTGCTCTAAAACCAAAGAAATTTGGTATTTTTTCTGGCTCCAATATCCTCGTCAGGCTGTAAATAAAAGTTTCTGCATCAGACTTGATACAGAGACTTGAGGGAGCGTTGGGCTAGTGGTTAGAGCAGTGCGCTTGTGCTCTGAGAAAGTTGCAAGTACCTGTTTCGATCCCCACATCCTCAACCCTGGGTTCCCGAGCAAAACCCTAACCCCACACTGCTCCCTGGGCATCACACAATGGCAGCCCACTGCTCCCTAAAGGGATGGGTTGAATGCAGAGAGTGAATTTCATCGCTTTGTACTGTGACACTATAATGACAAAAAAGTTGATTTCTATTCTATTATATTATATTATATTCTAGACTTACTGATGAGGACAATGGGGGATGAGGAGATTAAGAATGGGTTGATGATTTCATAATGACTTTTAAAAAGTGTGACTCTTCAAAACCAGTTTGTGCTTCAGATATACATATGATCAACTGACTTTGGTCTGTGAAAATCCCCTGTTTTTTTGTGTGTTTGGCTCTTTCTGTGTCCACATGGACGACACACATGACTGTTGCTGAATGTCTTTGGGAAGTTGTAACATCCCGTCAGGGTCACTTTTTGTTTGCATTTTTATTTTATTTTTTTCTAGATGTATGAAACAGTATAGAAAACACATCGTGCTACAATTACATCATAATGGTTTGGCTTAATCATTCATTTTCAACTCAATATTCTTAATATTCACAGTTTCTGGTAACATGCAGTTAATATTTATAGGTAATTCAATATAATTCTCATTAAACAGGACTACATGCTGACTGCACATTTCAGAGCACATCTGAAAATAACAAGATGGTGCTGTAAAACTGAAGATTAAAACAAAGGAGCCCAGAAGGTGATAGAAAATGAGTATTCCCAGCAAACCGTCCCTTCAAAATGATCCTAAGCAACTTGAAACACAGGAGGGGGATCTCTGGCCTAAGGAGGCAAACAGCAAGGAAAAGCAGGGAAAAGATTCCCCTAAAATGAGTCAAACAGCGAGAACAGTGATCAACCCTCTGACTCTGATTAAAGAGGACTTTAACCAGCTTAAAGAGGAAGTGAAAAAACTGTTCACGGACAAAGATTCAGAACCCAAAGCGAGCCAGACAGCGGAAAGGACTAACAACCCGTTAACCCTATTAAAAGAGGACCTCAATAGTTTAAAGGAAGAACTCTCGAACGTTTTTAAAATTGGTCCTTCAAGAGACAGAGAGAACAAGAATGGAACAGAGAAGGAGGACTCCAGAAGTGAAACCAGCATGAAAGCCTCCAGAGCAGAGAGAACAGAAGAACCTTTAAAGAGCTTTTTCGGGAGAGAGAAACCACTCCATAAGGCGGCTCAAAGAAATCACATGGAGGAACACAGAAACAGCAAAGCAGATTTAGAAATTAATTTTACAAAAACAAAGACAGACACAGAAACAGATGAGAAGTTTAACAGCACAGCAAATGGTCTGAAAACACCTGAGGTCAGTCAGCTGACTAGTTACAATACTGAGAAAACCTCAGCTCCAGCACCACAATGTGAGGCGATGTTTGCATCAAAAACAGCTACAGGTAAGGCTCAGTATTATTAGCTCTGCATCTATTTTCTTTGTTGATGTTAAGATCATTGTTTAACAGATCAATTATCTCTTATATGCATGACCTAGCCTGCATGTTTAATAGAACTATCTGCAGGTCTGTTCAGGTTGAAATTGACCCAAGTGCATCTGATACTAGTTTCTTCTGCAGCTCCTGAAAAAGACAAGACTAACCTCTGGAAGGATAGTTTATCTCCTGTGCCACCAGCGGAGGAGGTCAAATCTTTAGAGAAAGCTCTGGCCTCTGATATCACTTTATTCCCTCTAAGAACTCACCTGAGGTGAGTTAAAGTATTTTATAATGTGACCTAAATGGAGGATGGAAATGAAAAGGTTCTCTTTATACAAATCTAAGCCACTTTTTAGATTTTTTTTATTTATTGTGGGGACTGTTTCTTATTTTGCAGTACTGAACCAACAGAAGACCTGTGGTCTTTGAAAAACTGTAAGTAAAGAAGCATCTTTATATATTTCTCTGAGGACATCTATGTGTTTCTTCCTTTTATTTAACCTTATAGTGTCATCTGCATAGAGGATCGATTTTAGGTCATAAGACGTAAAGGAAATCTTTCAGGAATCTGTCAGTTTTCAGGGCTAACAGGTTATTTTCACAGATCTTACAGTTTACATTTCAGCAGAAGTGCTGACTCAAAGGCAAATGTAATTAAAATCATAAAATACCTGACACTAAACTTTTACTTGGACCAGAAACATTAGACCAAGAATTTGCTTTATGTAATTTACATTATTATTAAGCATTATTCTGTGTTCCATAAAAGTTTAAAAAAAAAAAAAAAAAACATTCGACTGGACTTGGTTTCCAAGATTTGAAGACGTTTCGGTTCCCCTTCAGGAAGCTTTCTCAATTCAAATGTCTGGATCCGCAGTGAGTTTGAGTCTTTATATAGACAAGGCCTTGTACTGCTTGGAAACATGCAAATAGAAACCGACGAGTGGGTCGTTTGGTTCCATTGTTAGCCTGTAAAATCTGAAACCTGTCTATAATTCTGAAGGCCGGTCGTTAAAGGGGGGGATTGTCGTTAGAATGAACATTTTGAAAAAAGGAGAAGAGATTTTAATGCTTTTTCGGAGAAAATTTACAACCAGAGGCTCATGAAACTATTTCTTTTCTTGTTTTAACACAAGGTGCCATTTATCTGACCTTTGACCCCAACACGGCCAACTCAGAGCTTCGCTTAACTGACCAGAACAGAAAGGCAACTCGGGACTGGTTAACACATCTATCTGTGGACCACCCGGAGCGATTCGACGAATGCCCACAGCTTCTGTGCAGGGAGGGGCTGTTGGACACAGCTTACTGGGAGGTGTTGTGGAGCGGCGGTGTCGACATCGGTGTGACCTACAACAATATCTCCAGAGACAGCGTGAGCTGCCTGCTGGGACACAACGAGCAGTCCTGGAGTCTGGAGTGCTCCGATGGGTTCTACACCCCATGCCACAACAACAAGAGATTCCGGTCCTCCTCACCTCAACCCTTCACCAACAGGGTGGGGGTTTATCTCAACTATCCTGCTGGAGAGCTCTCCTTTTTCTGCATTTCCCGGGACACAATGATTCACCTGCACACTTTTACCTCCACCTTCACAGAGCCGCTATACCCAGGCTTCTGGGTGTGGGCCGATAACGGCTCGGTGACACTGTGCCAGGTGGAACTAGGCTGGGAGCGACTCCTGTAATGAGACTCATGGTGCAACTGAAGGATTGCTAACATTTAGCAAAATATTTTAACTGTCCATCTAAATGCTGTGGGAATTAACCTTCCTTTAAACTTCTTTCTTTTCATGAAGGACAAACTGTGTCATCATATACAAAAATTATCATATAAAAAAAATTATTTAATGACAATAAAAAGGGAAATAATAAATTAATAATTATTAATTTTGTCATGTTTACATAACATTTTCCTCAATGAGAGAGAGAGCTTTAATAAAGCACCCTATAAACTAAAACCCATCACTGTGTTTCCATTGTGTATCTATGTGAGTAATGGATTTGTTCAAACAGTCACACAAAATCCTGCAGCCCCTCTATGAAGTGCATCCTTGGTAGAAGTCCTTGTGCAAATTTAGAGAATCGGGACAGTAAGGGTTAGGTCATCAACTTGCACCTTTGAGATATAGGTGTCAGGAAATATGTTTTTGAAATCTTGCTTCTAAAAAGGATTTAGAAGCTGCAGCCAACAATCACTCTGAATTCATGCACAGGAATGATAATAGTTTAACTATTTACAAACAACTCATCACTATAGCTCTGTCTTTCTGCTCAAAACATCCCAAGCACCAATGAATTGTGGCTAATAGACTTTAAAGAAGTCCGCTTTGACGCAGGTTTAGCCGAAGTGTGGACCGAGGGTCCAAAGAGGGAGGGGTGAAAGACAACTCAGGAGAATTAGAACACACTAGGCTCTAAAAGCACAATGAGTAACAACAATATAAGGGGGAAAATGGATGGAAGAGCGAGTAATGGGACAAAACCACTGTCTGACCTGGAGCTGGCTCTCCTGACTCCCCCGGACCTCCTGCAGCTCTTTTTCCAGCTGCTCCAGGCGAGCTGCACGCATCTGCAACGCAAAAACCAGAATGAAACCATATTGATATCTATCTCATACCAGCAGCTTTTACCTTAAACACTAACTTTGTAATCTGCAGTCAATATATTAACATGTATTACTTTGTAGTGGTGTTACACAGCTTCTTTCATACGAGAACTCATGTGCAGCAGCAGTGAACTGCAGCCGTTAACCTTCTCCTTTACATTTCTGTCAATCTGTGTGACATGTGGTACAGCAGCTGCCAGACGTCTCACCTGAGTTCTGTGCACCATCTCGTTGCTGGCCAAGTAGCGCTCCGCAATCAAAGATCGGTGAACTTTATCCTCCAGATTCTGTCGGATGAGATCTAACTGCAGAGAAATCTGCAGCGGCACACAGAGATCACAGGTAAACTATAGGTGGTTTCTATAGGTCATCAAGGGAGGAGCCATCTGTGCTATATGTGTTGTTACCTCATCGATGCGTGGTAGCTGTGCCAGTCTGTGACACGTATGTGAAAGCACCTCGAGGCGTTCGCGCTCCTCACGGTCGATCTCGCCCAGCAAAAGGTTCCTACAGAGATTAGATCCCACCGTTAACCTCTTTAAAAAATAATTCAATAAAACTCATCTCACTGGCAGCAGTCTACTAAGAAGGAATTGAGAAAATACTCATGCATTTTATTAGCTAATAATACAGTAGTTGTTATGTTTAGTAGTAATCAAGTTGTCTATATGAATTAGTCCGTTTTTAACCAGCTAATTAGCAGAATAGTTGATCTTATTTCTATCTTTGTTTACATCTTTATATACCTAAACCTTTTCTTTACTATACAAAATGCATATTATTTCAGACAATTCTGATTAGACTATCAACTTGACCACCATACATCCTCGTCCGTCACTCATGTTTTTGACATCACATTTTTTGAATTTCGCCAACAAATGCAGAAATATCACCATCCAAACCAACTCTAGTAAATAAAACAGACAGATGGCTAATTTGTAATTTTAAGAATTTGATGAGAAAAGTAGATATAGTTTAAAATCAGTTTTTTTTAGCTCAAATGTTCAAGATATTGGACAATGATTGGCAGCTTTCCTCCACTGACCTTTCTTTGTACAGCTCTTCAAAGTGATGGTCACTCATCCGCCCATCTCCATCGCTAATCACAGCTGTCTGCGGTGGAGCTCCATCCAGGAAGTGATTTGGCAGCATCATGGCGACCTCCCCACTAGACACCATGCTTTGCCGAGATGCGGCTCGGAGCGGGCTCCTTGCTCTGTTCGCCGCTGCCATGGATGAGGAGGAGGAGCAGCAGGAGGATGGAGCGAGGGCCAAGTGGTCCTCTAGTTCCACGCTTCCACTCAAAGCTGGCCCAGTGCTTCTCATCCCTGCCCCTCCCAGACCTGAGGTTAGAAGCCTCAGATTGTGAGGTTGGTGTTTCAGTTCATAGTAGTTGGTGAGGTCCATGTAGAGCTCTAAACAACCACAAGAAGAATGACTAAATATTGCATCACTCATTAGCTATATGTTATTTAAATAAAACATTCTGCAGATATGGAAAATATTTAGATTTCTGCAAAGTGTAGAGAGAAAAAAATGTGTTCCATAAAACCTGATAAATCTACATGTTTTCCAAAAGCAATGCCTTAAATTTTTTATTTTTTTTTGCTAAAGTTATAAAAGATTCTGACTGTAGACTATCAATATTTAATTGACTATAAAAGAGCTAAGACCTAAATGATCATAAATGCACTAGATGCTCTATTTTAACTCCACCTATCAGCTCTATTTACACTCCGTCCACAGAATACATCACTCTAATTACTGTATATGCGATGAATTTACACATATCACCTTTAGCGGATATAAGCAATCCGCTCTTGTTCTGAGACACTTTGTGGTTGCCAAACAGCTTTCAATGGAAGAAATTATTAACTAACTATATAATCTGTTGTCAAGTCAATCTGACCGTTTTCATTCAAATTTGGGAGCAGTCTGAACAAAGAGATTGAGGTGCAGGGTTTTTGGAACACAACCTCCTTAGACAAGGGGTTTGAGAATTAAATCATTGCTCACAATCTGTTTTGTTTGCCTTTACTGAAATAAAAACAGCAAAAGGATATCTTTGTTTATATATTCAGAATCAAACCAAGTGCTTAAACACTCAGCTTTTACACTCTAACTCTTCTGATTGTAAAGCTTTGAACAATTTTTTTCTTTCTATCTGCTCTTAACATCAAGAACCTGCTAAAGAAGTTAAACTAATAATAGATATTTACTTTCATTATACTAATTTAGTCCCACCCCAATAACACCCACTAAAGCCTTTTTACCAGATATGGGAAAGTTACACGATATTCAAATTGATGTGCACTAGTTTGCAGAGGGTCACTTTGTAGAACATAACTTTTTATTATGAGCAGATAGATTAATTTAGATGGAAATTACAACTGTGCACCTCTTTTCTGCTCAGATTTACAGCTCTCCTAAACCCGACTCACTTGCTGCATTAATTGAACTCATCTGATTATATTATTTCACTTGTGTTGCAGACAGGAAACAGCCTTCTGCTTTTAATCTTTGCTCACATTAACTGGATCCAGGTTCAGATGATTGAATTGGGATAAACCAGGTCTTTAATTGAACTGAGTCATAATGATGCTCAGCCAGTTGCAGCCAATCAGTTTAGCTGATTGAGTCCATTCTTTCCTTTCGACACGGAAAACGGTCCCAGTGGAGTTCTCAGCCTCTGATGGTGTGTTTGTTTGTTAATGAGGAGAAAATGTTCTTTATAAGAGTGAAAAACAGAGTCAAACCTTTGAGTTGATGTAGCACGTCAGTTCTCCCGGACGAGGCCAGGTTTCCTGCTTCCTGCTCCAATTTACTCTGTAGCTGCTTTAACATCTCCTGCATCCAAGGAAATCCAGAGTTAAGATGTGACTAAAAGAAAGGTCAGTTATCATCCCTGTTGTATATCTGCAACATCCCTCTCAATCTAAACAGAAGAACAGTTAAGACTCAGACTTTCTCCCTCCTGCAGGTGGATCGTGAACAGATGTCATCTGCATGTGAGCCTGCTGTCTCGTTTCTGTTTGCACTCCCTGAATCTGATTCTAATAAAGCTGGAATAATCCAGTGGCTCAACATCTGCACACGAGACTGCGCACGTGTGTGAGAGTGTGCCTAAAGCTGTAGGCATTTAGTTTCAGCAGGATTAATGGCTTTTTTCTTGGTTATTTTTGGTCTGAAAATAATTTATTTAATTCAGTCTTTTTTGGGGGGGGTTACACTATAAAAACATAAAATCTAATTGGCTAAAGAAATATGGACAGATTTGACAAAAAATAAAAAAGCTACAAAAATATGTAATTACTTTATGACTTTTAACAGAAATTCTTTGATCACTTACTAATATCATTTTCTTAGGTCTGACAATCCTCAACTATGCATGTTAAAAATATATGAATGTGTTAAAAACTATGACATTCATATTTGATTCATACAACAAATAAATTATACTTTAACCAGGAAAGAAAACATGTGCTGCATCATCCTCTATTAAAGATTCATATTTCAACCCTACAGAAAATGCAGAGGCTGTAAAATGTTTCCACCTTTAGAATTAAATTTGATTGTGCACCAAAGAGCATTCTATTAAATGACCTCTAATCCCTAACCTTAGTATTGATGCTCAATTAAAAGTAAATAAAAAGGAAAACTGGTTCCAGAGTGTTATGGTTTTGAAAATTAATTTAATCAGTTTATCTTTAGGTCTATATCTGAAGTCCAACAGCTGCGTATCCTCTCACTCACCTTCATGCCAAATGTCTCAGTCTCCAGTTTGCAGAGGTGGTGGGAGTTGTCCTCCAGCTCTCTCCTCAGGTGGGAGTTCTCCTTCCGGAGAACCTCCACCTGGAGGGCCAGATGGTCGTAGGAAACCACGGCATTGGCCATCTTCACCCACTACAGCGCTCCCTGCAGGAAAGCAAAAGCAAAAGGGTTAAACTGATTACTAAATCCAAATATCATTCATTGGTTTGTTTTTCAATTTGAAGCCAACAAAGAAAATACAATGTATTTTTAAATTTTGTTTCATAAAATTATTTGCTCTATTTGTCGGTACTCGCTGATACCACCATTTTAGTGCTGGATAGGGGCCCTGCCCGATACTGGTATCGGTGCAACACTAATGAAAACTGTAGCCTAATAAATATAATGTCATACTGGCTGTCTTCAGCTGTTTATAGACATGACCATGAATATTAAAGATGCATCACTCTGATACTCAATTCGGATATTGCCTCCATTATTGAATAATTAGCTGGATCGGATATGGGATGAATGACACTGATTACTCATTTCTACAGCAGCTGCTGATGATTTATAGCTGTTTTCAAAATATAATTTTTATGTCAAGCATGATGCCTTTATTCACATGGCAAGGTATGTGTTTAATCCATTCAATAGTAGTAATGGATCGGGATCGGATATTGGCCAATACGCCCAACACATGTATAGGTGTGTGGTTGGTTTGGAAAAAAAAACGATTGGTGCATCTTTGATGAATATTTTGTTGGTTAATGTAAATGAAAGGATTTGCAAAATTACCATCAATTGTGTCAATATGAGAATAATTTGGAACACTAAACCAAGAGCAGAGAGGGGGCGCAGGATCTGAATGGTGGTCTATATGTTGTCTACGGCTGAAACCTTCATATATAAATGAACTGTATAAAGCCACAAAATCTTTTTTTTACCACCTGATATTGAATAAGACTAAATGTTTTATTTTTAAGGTCAGTCAGGATCAACCCCAAAATGCATTGTTTAACTCTTTGTCTATTTTTTTTTTAATGAAATTAATGTTTTTTTTTATAGCAATTCACACCCTGGCCACTTGGTGGTATATAGTGTGATAATTAGCTGCTTAAAGTTGATCCTTGCTAGATCTGGTAACATCTAATTTTGCCAAATTCTGATCACCTCATTGGGTGATTCTTTTACCACAGATTTAAAATTTTAAACTGAAGTAACACTTTTAGCTAATTCCAGTCTCTATTGTAGCGATTTAGCTCTGACTGAGCATCCAGCACTATGAAGGACATAGAGAGTTACTGAATAAGAAAACCAGCCATTTCAAATTTAACATATAATCATGCAATATCTAAATCCATTTTAAAGTGAATTATTAAAGATGAATTGTATTTATTAATCCATTATGAAATATTGGAATTTTAAAAAGTATTTTCACATCCTATTTTGAAATACCTTTAATAACCAAACATTTAAAAAGATTATTCCTTATTTCATTTGTTTTTTTAGCTTGCATTTTCAAATCCTTTTTGAAATTGCATTTTGTTTTTGTTTCACCCACTCCATTGACCTTTTCTGTGACCCTTCTGGTCCCTGAACACATTGCAAATTATTTGAACCAATCACAGTTGCTCTTCAGATGAAACCAGCTCCTTCATTTGTCATTTTGTAAACCAACTGTGGAAGTTTAACCAATAAGAGTTTAACTGCTTTCCATTTTGAAATTGCCTGATTTAAATGCTACATTTGAAATGGCTGGTTTTCTTTTTCAGTGACCACTCAGGTCTTCTGGCTCCAGCCTGCTCTGCATACCTAGAACCAGAACTAAACATGGAGAAGCAGCATTTAGTTCCTGTGCTCCACTTATCTGGAACAAACTTCCAGAAAACAGTAAACTTACGGAAAGCCTGAATTCCTTTAAATCAAGAGTAAAAACACATTTGTTTAGGATTGCCTTCGACTGTTCTAGTTAAACAGTTCAACTGGAACATCATTAGTTCAACTTTTTTATTTTCTTTAGTCCAACTGTTTTTAATGTTCTTTTTTTGTTTCAGCATTTTTTTTTCCTACTCACTTTGATTCTGTTTTATTTTCCTATATTTTAATTATGTAAAGCACTTTGCATTATCTTTGTACTGAATTGTGCTATACAAATAAATTTGCCTTGCCCTGCCTTATACTGAATTGTGCTATACAACGTTAGACTGCAGGAATCCAACTTTGGACATTCAATTATACAAAATGGGTTTGCAATTCAGGACTGTGTTCAGGCCACAGCAGGTAACCTGTGCTTTTGGTGTAATCATTATTTTTTATAATTCAAGAATGGTGATATTTATGTTATTACAGGTTCAACAGTCATTGTTTTTTGTCAATTTATATCATCTGGTTGATGTTGATTCTCTGTTCTGCTTGTTTGGACTGGATTATTACCGTAATATAAATAAATGCTTCAGACAGTTTTAACTATTAGCATTATAACTGATGGGTAAAAATAGATTCTGATATTTTCATCCGAAATGACATACAGAGACAGAGTCTCAGCCTCTGGTCAGTTTTTATTTCCACATTTCTCCCAGTAGACTGCTGGAATGGTGGCATATCCCCCTCGTCAGAACTGGTGTAACATGGTTAGGTTATTCAAAACACACACAGACACATTTTTTATGGGACTGAGATCAAGACTTTTAAGATAGCAGCTCCTAAAAAGGTACTTCCTTCTAGTTTTAAGCCATAATGTAACTGACACAATGTTATCCTGATGACTACTGTGCAATTTAAAGACCCATTTGTCTCTATTGTCATATGTATTGCTAGGTGCACCTGCCGCTACTGCACCAAGGAGCCCCAACAACACACTCCCAACATCTCTATACTCAACATTTTGTGATGCTGGTTTTAAGTTCAGAAAATTCCCCCTTTCTCTGCACATGTAACGTAAGTCGTTATGTCCAAACACTAACAACTTTTGTTTATTTCTAAACCACTGGACATCATGAATTGGTAGTCCTTCCAAGGCTTTATATACTACATTCCCTTTTTATTTGCTCCTGTTGTGGTAAAATCTTCCTCTACTCTTGTCTTCTTGTGTCTTTTCAGCTAAAACTTTCTGGGATTGTGTAAACAGAAATATTTTGGCAATCCTAACTGACCAAGAAAGGTGAAGCTTTTGTTCCTATAAAGGTCAAAAGTTAAAATAAAAAGGTTTTGGTCTATACACAAAGTGTATATATATCTGTTTACAACTGTACATAATAACAATTCCAAGCAAAGAAAAAAATAAACTGTTTTGATAAATTAACCTCATGAATAATTGGTTCTCACAAGTATACATTTCTCTTTGAGAGCTGCATTATAGTGCAGAGCTCAGCTGGTGTGTGTGTTAACACCATAGACTTTGCATATATTGATGTAAATCATTGCTATGGCAACAAGGCAGCATCCCCTGCCTTATTACTATGGTGACACGTTCACATAAAGTCTTTGCCAGTACCTTTCCTCTCTCTCCCTCTCAGCCACACACAAACGGTTGCCCACACAGACACACCCACATATAGGGAGCTGCAGAGAGATTAAAGTGTGCTACACGAAAGGGAGCATAAGAGAGACTGGAGACTTGAAAAGAACCTTATTCAAATCACAGGACATAAAAAAAAAACATTGCTTGAATGTATCAACAGAGAGAAAACAATCCTCAAACAACAACTAGGGGTAAAAAGAGCAGAGCCTGCATAAAGCTGAGATAATGAGCCTTTGTGGGACGAATATTCAGGAGGAGAAAACACTGATCTAGGGTCAGTACTTAGACTCAGGTGGGCAATGAACTAAAAAGAAAGAAAGCAAGCATAAAGGTCTGCACTCTGATGAAAAACACTAAAGACTGCGGCAAACCTACACTCAGAAGACCAACAATAAAACACCAGAGCTCTTAACATCCTCACCCATAGATGTATCCCAAATATCCAAACAATCTCAGACATATACAGAATTGCAATACAATCCCAGTAAGATAAGATGAACTTTATTTTCCCACAAAGGGAAATTTGTCCTGAGCACAGAAGTACGGCTACAGCTGCATACATAAAATGACAGATCATAGGACACAACACCAATACAACAACAAAATCAATCAATAAACAAAAACAGTAACAGAAAGCTGTTTCGGTATAATGCTATACATAACATAAAGTACAATAGTATAAGCGTAAAACAAGAACCCATATTCTCCAATTAACATGACAGCCGATGCAATACATTCTATATTAACTCATATTGTGGTAGCCACAGAGCCAGCGGACTGAATATTGATGGAAATCCATGTGTGAGGAAGAGCTTCAGCTTTAAGAATAACCCCACCACCCTACCCCCACCCCATCCACACACACACATACATATACCCATCCACCCACCCCTGATCTTCTACAGAGGAACGCAAATGGCAGCAGACTGGATGAAAAAACACTTTGATTTTAAAATGCAGTCTGCTTCAAACAACACTCCTAAACCTCTTGGTGTGGCGCCATTTTCCTTCCCCCTTCATACTACTCCTCTTGATCTTCTTCTTTGGATGCAGTTGCCATGGTAACTATGAATTCTCTTGGGAGGACAGAGAGAGATGGAGGATGGGAGGATATAGAGGCGGGGCAGCTGGAGGGAGTGATCTACACTCTTATTTTTGTGTACGCATAAAGACTTGAGTTAAATGGAGCTAAAGTGGGTCTGAAACAAATAATCATTAAGATTAATTATTACTATAATCCAGGCAGCACAGAATTAAATGATCATATCTAAGCTCTGAGTCTGGCTTTGCTGGATTTCATGAGTCCCAAGGAGCCGCAAGGACGCTTCACAACAATGCAGTTTGCACCAATTTTATGCTACAGGGAATCATTCCTCCCCTGACCTTCTGAGTCAGATACCTAATTTAAAGGAGCATTCCAGGTTGTTGTTTTTTTAACATTAGGTTTTACAGCAATACAGGAAGGTTATAAATATGACCTAAACTAACAGCTAACAGGAGCAAAACATGGCAGCGGCTGCAGATCATCTCCTCAACCTGAGAGGAACGAGGATTCACGGACAAACACAACACATCACTAAATTAAAGATCTAATTCATCTTAAAGGGATCCTCTAACATCAAAGAAAATTGAAACTGTTTTT